GCTGCTGGACCCTGGTAAATATTCCAGTCTCAAGAGGCTCTACGGTGTCACTGCTCGGGTCTACCACTTCATCAACAAGCTCAAAGGCAGACAGGTAGACTGCTACAAGCAAGCCGAGGACTACTGGATTCGCCGCATGCAGCAGAAGTCGTTCCCAGCAGAACTGCGTTTCCTGCGAGAAAAAGAAAATCAGGCGTCGAAACCGCCGCCCAAACTCGTGAACGACCTCAATCTCTTCTTAGATGAGGGTGACATCCTAAGATGTAAAGGGAGGCTGTCACGACTCAACTACTACTCATACTCAACGCTCAATCCTGTGCTGTTAGCGAAGGAACATCAGCTCACTTCACTTCTGATCAACGATCAACACCTCAAGTGCAAGCATCTTGGCATCGGCACTACTCTCACAGCTCTACGAGAACGTGGGTTCTGGATACCAGCTGGACGACAGGTGGTGAAGCGCATACTGAAAGACTGCATCACCTGCAAGAAGCACAACAGTCTCGCATTTTCCTACCCCAAGCTGACAGACCTTCCAAAGGAGAGAGTGCGTTTCCTCAAGCCTTATCACGATACAGCGATTGATTACACTGGACATATTTATGTCAAAGATGACAATGGAGAGATGAAAAAAGTGTACATCGTTCTCTACACCGACCTGGCCATCAGGTCGGTGCACCTGGATGTAGTACCGGACCTGACGGTGAAGTCATTCATCCAGTCATTTTCTCGCTTCTGCAGCATATATCGTGTTCCCCACACACTCTACACAGACAACGCTAGTTACTTCATCGCAGCTCAGAGGCTGATGGAAAACTTCTTTCTATCAGACGACTTCAGAGAACATCTGGCAAGACTCAACATCATCCACAAGACCATTCCAGCCTACGCAAGCTGGGTGGGTGGCGTTTACGAGCGCCAAGTCAAAACAATCAAACAGTGTCTGCACAAAACAGTAGGTCGTGCAAAACTGACATACTACGAGCTCATCACTCACCTTGCCGCGATTCAAGATATCGTGAACGGGAGACCAATCACATACGTCAACAGTCAACTGGAAGAGATCGAGCCTCTGACTCCCAACAAAATCCTGAAGGTGCACTCCAACCCACGTCTGCGGCTGATCTGCGAAGACGACCGCGACGACCCACTCTGGACTTCAACTCCAGATGATGTGCATCAACAGATGAACAACACACTACAAGAGCAGCAACGGCTGCAAGATAAATACACGAAAATGTGGTACAGTGATTATCTACTGAGTCTGAGAGAAACTTCACGTGACGTGTTCCAGTCCGAGTGGATTGACAAGATATCGGTGGGAGACATTGTTCTGATCGACACGAGGGACCGGCCCAGAGTCTACTGGCAGATGGGACGTGTTCTACAACTCATTCACAGCAACGATGGTCGCGTCCGACAGGTCATCCTGAAGACTGCAAAAGGACAAGGTCGGTATGCCACGCGGTTGTTGTACCCGCTCGAGGTGCGGGCTGTTCACGCTGGGACATCCGCGGATGGGTGTAACAGTCGAGTGGACGGAAACAGTCTCAGGACAGAACCACCAGCTGACATCTCGCGCCCGAACGTTCGCCCTGCAAGACGAGCGGCAAGTGGACAGAGGCAACTGGTTCAGGATCTGATCCGGTCAGGTTCTTTGTAGAACCTGCAATCAAGCGCACAAACAAGTGTACCACATCATCATCATCATTGTTCACATCAAACTTCAATCACACCACTTAACAACAACCAACTCATGGCAGAAGAAAACACATGACATGCTTGACTCCTCTGTCAAGCATCTCGCCTGGGGAGTGTGAGAATTATTCACCGTCTTCCACTCCTCACATCCTTTCCATGCATATTTCCTAGCCTTGATTCCTCACCAGCGCCACCTATGCCAAATTTGCCCATTTAGTCTCGCTTGGTAGCCGCTAGATGGCAGGAAGTGTGGCTCTAACCGCATCGGTCATAGAAGTGCGTGTCGACTTGACCATGAAAACCGTTGTCACGTGACTGGCACGATGCCAAAATCAGCTGTTTGTTCAGCTGTTCAAATGAGCTGCGCGGCAGGGTGCGGCACTGAAAAAGTGGCAGATACATACTGGAATCACGGGCAGTGTTGCAGTCTGGAGGCCTCGTGGTTGTAAAACGCTGTGTGAAACCACAAGAACCAGCAAACTCAAGAGTAGTGACGATAATCAAGTATCAACCCGATCAAGAAGCCATACTTAAGGTTTACTTTGAGCGTAAAGCCACTGAGTTTTACAAGGATTTGGACACGAGGGCAAGAATTACTGAGTTCTGTACAAACATTCAAGAAGCGCATACCAAGGTAAGCGAGACTAATCAAATTGGCTATCACTGTGGCATAATAATTTCCATTCATCCAAAAATCCTTACACGGCCTTTTGATTAGCGGCTTTGAATCAATCATAAACGACCTTTAAACCTTGCCCGCATATGGGGGGGGGGGGCTGCCATCTCCCAGGTCGTTTTCTGTTATGTACTGAACATTTTTAGGGCTAGAAACCTGGGTTTTCGTATAGCTGCTCCTCTATCCCTTCTTGATGTCCACTGAAAATTTTAAGTTACTGTGGTGTTTGGTATCGGAGATATGACCTTGTTCCTCGGGTCAAGTCATGACCCAAATGACAAATATCCAACATCTTGCGTTGGCTATGGGTCTTGTGAGCTTGACACCTTGATTTATCTTGTTTGCCAGTCTCTCCCACCTATAATGGAAGGCACAAACATTTGGTGAAAAATTTCCTGGATTGCCAGCACTTAGAAGCTAGAACTTGTTTATTTTGTTGTAGGTGAAAAGATAAGAAATTGAAGCGAGACTGACCAGTATGCTACAGAAAAGGTAGCCCAATCTGCAGAAATATTAAATTTCAAAACTGGAACTGGGACTTATGGACTGGAAACTGCATCAACTATGTTTTCCAAAGCATAAAAGATTATATATTCTGAGGTCAGTAAGATTTTTCCTACATGCCGTATACCTGCAAAGTAGTTTCGACAGGTTTTGGTGACACGTTTATACAATTGTTTTGTCCATAATTTCCGAACAGTGATTGCGCTACTGCTGTGGATAAAGCTTTAAAGGAAATTTATTGAAGAAAATGCATCAAAATACCTCCCTTCAAAAAGAATCGCGTCTGAAAATATCAACTCAGAATGGCACAACAATTGAATATCCAAGGAACATCATACATGAATAATTTGCCACGACATAAGAACAAGAAGAAGGTAGAAGGTATAATATTCCTAGTGATTAAACGTGAATTTTCCAGTGCTCTTGCAAGAATCTTTGTCCTTCAGTGTATCTTTTCTTTATTTATGTAATCGTACTTTGTTGATGACCTATGGCTAAGCTTTTGTGAAATACATTATATTTTCCATATTTTACTTGTTTGTTTTGAGGAAAGGACTACAACTGTCAAATAATAACGCAATAACTTACGCCCAAGGTATCAGTGGACATATCAAACGAAGATAAAAAACAAGCGATAACGGATTTCGATTAATAGAAGCATATCTTGCCATAATTTCGGCTTTGTAACCAATACAAAGTATTTCAAACCCCTTGATAAGCAGAGCAGATATTTTTTACCAAAAAATGTTGGTTTTCTAATTTTACGCGGCAAATATCATGCAATAATTATGTCAATTATACATTCCCTATCAATTAGGGGAAGTTGGGGGAACGCCGAATACTTTTTTTCTGACGCCCGTAGCACGCAAGGTAGACAACATAAGCTATTCTTGTTGGCGTCATTCGAGAGGCCAGTCTTTTGCCTTTCAAACATACCAGGCGCATTTGATGAATTCGCATACCGTTAAGCGCACAAACTAAAAACATCAAAGAAGTGACTTTTTCGGCGTTGCCCCGGACTGCGGGGATAGCCGAAAATGGGAGAAATGATCTACGGGGAATGCCGACATTGATGTTTTGCCACTTTATCTCAAACTTTATCCAGAATTTATTAAAGCTGACACGCGTTTTAAGAGCTTGAGGATGCTTGGTGCACACCGGAAGTTATAATTGTGTGATATAATAAGAAAATGCCAGGTAAATAATTTCTTATAGGTAACAGGCCGTTGTGTCGGTTGAAAGTGTAATTTGTGTGACTAAAAATTCGCGTTGCTATTCTACAGCAGTAAAGTCCACGTAGCATGCTTTAACGTGCGTAATTCCACGTTTTCGGCATTACCCCAGCCAGCCATACTTTCATTTGCAGGCCCATAACTTTTCAACGTGCCGTATAAATGTCAAATAGGCAGCACACTTATGCAAAGACATGCTGAAGATTACTTGACCGAATTGGCCAGACAAACGGTAGCATAATGAGTAAGAAATGCAGCTTCAAAGGCGCATGTAGTACAAGGAACGCGTACCTTGAAAACGCTCTTGGCGCCCTCACAGCCGAAGTATTCCGAATGACGACTCGTAACAAACATGCGATAATTGTAGTCACTTAAGCTTCAGAGCATCACTGACAGGTGGCATCCATGTCTTACGGTTTTCGAAATATCTCGAATTTCGGCTTTGCCCCAACTCCGGCATTGCCCCAACTTCCCCTATACCTCTGGGCTAATGCGATAAACTGTAGTTTAGAGGTCATTGCCCTGGGCAGTAAACCCAGGCAGTTAACTTTTGTTTCCTGCCCGGCCTATCAAATAACATGGCATTTTGACACCGACAGTTTCTTGGTCATAGTTTTACTGCCCGGCTCGTGCTGTGCTTAAGACATACCCCGGCATGTAGGAAATTAACATTTACCATAAAGCACAGGGAAATGATAGGACCCGGTTGGACCCGGCCAAATATTTTGGGGACCCGGTCTGGACCCATCGGGGTCCAGACCGGGTCCATAGACCGGGTCCCCGGGTCCACATTTTGCCACCTCGACTCCCGACCGTCCCGAAATAGACTACGTCATCCTGCCTGCGGCACGCACCGGCGCGGCGCTGTCGGCAGGCGGGCGCAGAGTCGGACGCCGACGCTCAAGGTCAGCGTTGGAGCGCGCCGGGGCTGGCATTCGGTGGGCTGCTCTGCTGGAGGTAGCGTGGTCCGCACGCTGTCGGCGCCATGTGCACGACCTTGGTTCCGCTGGTGGGTCTCCTCTGCGTGTCGGGTGAGTACAGGAGGCAGCCAACACCTTGTGCACGGAGAGAGAGAGGGCACCGAGGGACAGAAAGATAAAGAGACCGACCGACAGATACAGAGACTGGGAAGCATACAGAGAAGCAGAGTGAAAGACAGGGGTGTATTTTTTCCCAAAATGAATGTGGGTGCCCAGCTGTAGGGACGCCAAGCCACTTAGGGGACGTAGGGGCGCCAGAAGGTTACAAGGGCGCCGAGAGACCATGACAAGGAAGGGCGCCATTCTCCCAGAAGGGCGCCAATAGATTAACCCTCGCCCGTATAGGGGGGTCGAACGGACCCCCCTCGGTTTTTCGCGAATAACTCGCGTAAAAAGCGGCCGATCGCGACGAAAATTTCAGTGCCCTCGAGTTGATCAATTTTCCATCTACTCGGAAAATTTCATGACCCTAAACCAAATGAACTTTGACCCGTTACCTACTTTTCGAGACCATGTTTGGCCGAAATCGCGATTCTGCGTATGTCGGCTCGCATTAGCGGCGCGTTTGCAGTCTTGTCGTGGTTTCAAGCGTTCAAACATCTGAAATGATGTTGGTCCCATGCATATTAAGGTGGGAGGGCCCCTTTAAGGGAAAATCATGAGTATGAGCGGCCGGCCGGCCGTGGGGACGTTCTTCAATAGCTAATATCTTAGGAACGGGACATCCGATTGACAAGCGGTCTTCTTTACTGAATGTCACTTGGACGTAAAAGTTCTGTGGTGTGATGGCCACCATGCGCTCTTGCCAACCACCGCACGTGGCGCGTGGTAAAGTTGGACATTTTTTAAGAACCCCAAAATTGCAACCTCAATTACGGCACAACGGTTGGGCCGATTGAATGGAAACTCGGTACACAGTTAGGTCTCCATCAGATAATTCATCTGCATGTGTTAACACGCGCAGTGGAAGGGGGGGGGGCGGATTTCGCCCACCCCTCCTGTTTTTCGCCAATAACTCGCGCCGCAAGCATAATATCAATGTGAAATTTTGGCTACCTGTCCAGAATTGAATTGCGGATCTTCTCGTGCAAGAAGTAAGAAAATCGGTTCACAACTTTTCTAGTAATAGCGGTGTAAAGTCAAACATCCTGCCGCCGCGGCGGCGCGGCGGCGCGGCGGCCGGCGCTAGCCGTTACGCGCCGCCTGAATTGTAGACTGTGCCGGGGCGGGACGGTTCCGTCTTTACATCGCGCTCCTTACCGCTGATTATATTAGATTCGCGTCAAATTCGGTGACAAGACTGAGAAATGTACAGGCAATCATATGGTCAAAGAATTTTGAAAATCGGCCGGTAACAACTTGAGTTATGAGTGTGTAAACACAAAATTGTGATTGCCGCGTTTCCCGCGTCGGCCGATGCCGCTTCAGCCGGCGACATCTTACCCTTAGCAGGCTTCTAACTGCCATATTTATTGTTCGATTATCTAGAAATTCACCATACATACTCACAAATGTTTGCTCTTTCGGATAGTGAAAGTTAAAAAAAAAATCGGCCGGTAACTTTTTGAGTTATCGGCGTGTAAACGCAAAAAAGTCGCTAATATGGCAGATTTGACCACATTTGACCTCATTTGACCTTGAAGATATTGACTTAGGGTCATGAAATTCACACACAACAGAGTTCCCCATGGCCCCCACCTACCCTCCAAATTTCGTCTTTCTAGCTCCAGTGGGAGCTGAGATCTTAGGGGGGGCGACATCCGCCCCCCCCCCCTTCCACTGGGCGTAGTACTCGCAACCCTTCCACTGCGCGTGTTAAAGTTGGGGTGCTACAGCACGTGCGCACGTGCAGGGGGCGCTCCCAGATCTCGAGAACGGCTGGGCTGATTGCGCTCAAATTTGGTACAAGGTTGGGGACCAGTTAGTAGGGTGCCGTGCAAAAGTCAGTCTGGACCCCGCTTGCACGTGCGCACGTGCAGAATGCCGCTTCCAGATCTCAGGAACGGCTGGGCCGATTGCGTTCGAATTTGGCACACCGCTAGCGACCGGTTAGAAGGGTGCTTTGCACAAGCCCGTTGGAAGTACCCTCTCGCCCTTGCGCACGTGTAGGGCTCACCATCTCGCTCGCTCGTTCTCCGCCCAAAAGGCGTTTTACTGGTACTAACTGTTTTGATCGTGTCTCCGGTGATGACTGCTTCCTTTGATCTGTTACAGGATGCTTCTCATTGACGATGGACGGTATAAGCGTCAGTGGTCTGAACCGAGTTGGAGATGATGTCATCTTGGAGTGTGGTTTCGTAAAAGAGACCTATGAAGAGTCCCAAGGAACCGTGAACGTCACCTGGCATAAAGATGGGATGCAGTTCTACCATTCAGTGAACAACGGCAATAGCAAAATCATCACGGTCAAGGAAACTCCAGGAATCAAAGTTAATGTGAGTTTTGTTGTAATGTGATAAGAATAATGTGAGTTCATATGTCATTAGCTTATTTCCTATGTTTAATCAATGCTGTAACCTTGCTGAGACCATCCAGACCAGTCCTTGGAAAAAGTTCCTACTCAAATTAACTTTTCATAGTTGCAGTGCAAAATGAGCAGCATTTTCCTTTGATACGAGCTATGCCAGGCAAGGTGATTTACGAGTAAGAACTCTGACAAGCATATCATGAGACATAATGGATGTTTGGAAATGTTTTGCATGCACTTCTCTACATTTTCGTGCTAGTAATATGCGCATGCAGTAACCCATTGCTATTTCAAAGTGCTCAGTACTACTGTAGGTATATATATGAGTTACATTTGTTCCATTGACAGGAATCAAGATCTGGTTTTGGGCGCCTGACTCTAATGTCTCTTGAAATCAGTAGCAGTGGAAGCTATGGATGCAGCGCCACTTCAGTCAAGAACTCGGTGACCTCTGGAAACAAAACTTTGTTTGTGATGGGTAAGTTAACTTCGGGCAGTAGTCACCTTTCAGGTCGATTGCGTCAACCATTTAACCCTCGCCCCGTTGGGGGGCCATTTTGGCCCCCCTGTGGTTTTTCCTGAATAGCAAGAAAACGGCGGCACGCAGCGCCGCCAAACTTTCAGTACCTTTCCGGGCATCAATTTGACACCTTCACACCAAATTTCAAGTTTTAGGTCACCCTAGGTCAGGAGTTATTGAGGTCAAACTGAGGTCATGTTTGAGCAAAAATGAGCAAAAAACATGCAATCTTGAAACGCTCACCAAATCTACAGTTATCAAGCAATTTCAAAGTTCTTTAAATGGTCTAGTCAAAAATTTCATAAATTTCTGGGGTCAAAAATTTCACACATTGTCCAAAATTGATGTGCAAAAAGCTAACCCAAGCGGCGCGGCGCTACAGCGCCGCGGTTTTTTATTCACACGCAAAAAACGCGACAGGGTGGTAACATATGCCCCCCCCCCCACTGGGGCGAAGGTTAAAGGTTCGTCGCGGACGGCCGCTTTTTACGTGAGTTATTCGTGAAAAACCAAGGGGGTGTCCGTTCGACCCCCCTCCCTCACATAACGGCGAGGGCAAATATTCTTTTTTGTGTGCTTGGTTCCGCATGAAGTTGCGGTTCGCCGATTTGCAAGTGCTTTGTTATTGACCAAATCAGCAGTTTCCGCGTACCGTGTGATTTTTTGCAAGCTAGTTAATATCCGTTTTCTTGACAGCGCCACCTACCACTGATCCGGTACTTTCCGGTCTGAAGAAGACTGATTGGATTCCAAATGGTTTACTCGAGATCAACTGCACCGCCGGCAAGTCCCTCCCGGCAGCGAACATCACCTGGTCCGTGGACGGAAAACCGGTAAGTGTCGCTGTGCTTAAGCTGCTCACGCTGGGTTAGTGTACTGCAATTGACGCAGAAAGTGAAGGAAATTAACCCGCGCCCCGTAGGGGGGCCAAACGGTCCCAAAAGGTTTCCGTAGATATCTCCTAAACGGCTGCAGATATCGCCACCAAACTTTCAGGACCCCTCTGAGCATCAATTTTACACATTGTGACAAAACTTTCCAGAGGCTATGATAGGTTGGCCGCAAATGACGTCAGAATGACGTCATGTTCTGCCATTTTCTACCGGAAAAAGAGCTTCGCGAGAAGAGCTGTCAGGCCTGTAGCTTTGAAGATACAGAAAAATGATCAAAACATAAAAGGTGTAGAATTAAAAAAACCTACAAACTGCTGTCTCGGATTTTGTTAAGTTTTGACCCCCAAAAAAAATATTTTTGAATATATTAGCCAAAAAATCCAAAAAGTTTTTTGAGTTTCGAAAAAACGAAATATAAATGATAGTACCTACCGTCTTCTATCTACATACCAAATTACAGATCGATATATCTTTTTTTTGCCAAGTTAGAGTGAAAAAAAAACTTCAAAAATGATGACGTCAAATTTTCAAACTCAATTTTTGGAAATTCCAGACCACTTAGGGCAAAACAAAGACCACCATTTAACTCCCCGGGACGAGCTGCATCGAATGGGTACCTACCCATTTTATGCAAAAATATAAACTCTGAAATTTGACTTATCTGACCTGACCTTGACCTGACTTTCACCAGAACGTCACCTAAGCTGGCCCCAAAGGCTGCCTGTCCCACATAATCGCATTTTCATGTAAAATGGACCATAAAATATGTATCACACGTCACTTTCATATTGTGACCCACAGTGACCTGACCTCTGTGGGACCCCTGCTATCAGTGACCTCAGATAGCAAAGTATGTGTTTGACGAACAATTCACCATCGATTATATCATCATTAACTTACCAAGTTACTCGATTTCACAACATATTTTTTGAAATGCCTGTGAACGGTGAAATCCGATCTTTGACCTGACCTGTGACGTCATCGGTTTGACCTAGGTCAATGAAGTTTGGTCACAAGGTAGTTTCTCGGTGGGCTAAAATTCAAACGGAACACCGTTTGAATTTTAAAAATCGGCCGCTGAATTTCCGAGATCTTAACCCGCGCACCGACGGGGGTCTGCGCCAACTTAGAACCAACGGGGGGGGGCGGATGACTGCCCCCCCTGAGATCTCGAGAACGAAGCAAGATAGCGACAAGCGGTAAACGGCATGGGATACGCACAGACAAGGTCTACAATTTTTATCAAGATCATTGTCAGGTCAGGTCATAGATAATGTCACAGGGGTCCAAAAAGCCAAAATGGCGGCGCTAGATATGGGAAGTTTTTCTCCAATAACTTTCGACTTAGTCAAGCTAGGATCAAACGAAGGGCATCATCGTGATCCTCTCGTCAATCCGCATCGAATGATATATATGTTGACCTCGAAAGGTCAAGGACAAAGGTTGACCGTAGGTCACGTGACCTCGAGGTCATCATGTATATCATTCGATGCGCCTTGACGATCTGAACACAATGAGACCATCCGCGTGGCTGTGTCTTGTCCCTGTACGGAGTAATTGACAAGAAAACCTTTGGTGACCTTCGATGACGTCACATGACCTTACAGCTTCCCAACAGCAAAACAGACCTCAAGGTAGTAAAGGTTGATCGTATATGAAGTCATGTATGGCTTATGGGGCCATTCCGACCCGTTTTAGTGGCAAAAACAGGAAGTTGATTTTCCCCCATTGACTTATAATGGGCAGGTCGAGAAATTGACCTGACCTTAGGTCATCGATATCAAAATTCTGAGATTAACAAATTGTAGCTACTAATGACCTTGTAACATCCTGCGACCTTCAAAGGCCTCCGACATCTACTGTAGCTCTGGCACGGTGACAAAGTTGCAAAAAAGTGACTTGAGGTTGGGTCATTCAAAGTGACCTAGTGACCTGACCTTAAAAGATAGGTGACTCAAACTTACACAACAGATGTAAAACCAGTAAAACGCCTTTTGGGCGAAGAACGAGCGAGCGAGATAGTGAGCCCTGCACGTGCGCAAGGGCGAGAGGGTACTTCCAACGGGCTTGTGAAAAGCACCCTTCTAACCGGTCGCTAGCGGTGTGCCAAATTTGAACGCAATCGGCCCAGCCGTTCCTGAGATCTGGAAGCGGCATTCTGCACGTGCGCACGTGCAAGCGGGGTCCAAACTGACTTTTGCACGGCACCCTACTAACTGGTCCCCAGCCGTGTACCAAATTTGAGCGCAATCGGCCCAGCCGTTCTCGAGATGAGCCCTATCCGCCCTATACCAAATATGAGCTCTATTTATTCAAATTCTGACAGCTTCTGACCAGTCATGACCTTGAACGACGTTAGTAACATGTATGCCACGTGCAGGTGCAGAGACCCAGCTCTAGGTGTATATACGTGTAGTAGGGGAGAGTGGGGTGGGTTGTATCAGTTTTTACTCCGAGACCCATAACCTCGTAACTATCCGTGATAAACTCATTATTTCCATACTATCTCCTTCCTTGATTCTTCTGCTTTTTGTGCAAAGTAACTTTTCCGCTACCTCTACCAGTTTTTCTTCTACGGTCTGCCGAATAGAATAATGTTTTTGATACAACTTGCCCCATGGCTTGGGTGAGTTGAATCACATGGTGGGGTAATTTGTATCACTATTTCACGCTTCAGGGAGCGTGCTTTCTACTGGTTTTGAACATAACAACAACATTAAATGGGGTTAATACAATGTATATGCTCAAAGGCTTCACTTTTATTAGACCAAGCTTAGGTCAATCCGAACGAAACATCGAAACGAACGAAACATCAACGTTAAGAGCAAAGAAGCCAACACATTGTGCCGAAATGAAATGAGTATTGACTAGCTACCTACAAACGCAAGCCAGGGCTTAGCTTCCGCGATCAAAAGCAACATACCCATACATACATACATACATACATACATACATGTTACAACATACCCCACCCGGCTCTGATACAACATGTAACTCGCCGCCATCTTGGAAAAACATCCTCGTGCTCAAAAACAGCGGACAGCTGGAGAAATCCATTTTCACTCACGCAGCCTTAGAACCTACCCTCACCGCCGCTACAAAAATCTTTCAAATTCGTGCACATCTAAATGCCAAAAACACACATTTTCTTGCAACTTATTTTTTTTAGAATGACATTAAAAAAGCATAAAATCGGCTCTCACCTCCAGACGCGTCCACCCAGCCACACGACAGAACAGGGAAAGGTGGCGCCCGGAAAAAAACTCGTCGGCTGGTCGTGTCACGAGCGCCATCTATTGGATAAGTTTGGCACAATTCGCCCTGATACAACTTGGACATGATACAACTACTCTCCCCGCTCTCCCCTAGGCTTTGAATAAATGCTGGTTTTAGAAAGATGTCGTTTTATAAATTTACTACCGCTCTCGTTCCTTTTGCAGGTTGAGAGGAATAGACTGATTGAATATCCCACGGAAGTTGATGAAGATGGACTTGAAACTTCTAGGCTCGGTTTATCCATCCAGCTAGGTCATGATATAAGGTGAGATGGCGATAATTACCTTGAAGCAGTTATTTATCACATGGGCTCGCGCTCGAAAAAAAACTTACTGTGTACTGTGATATTGTATTGGTGACTGTATTGGTGTGTACTGACTGTATTGGTGCTAACTACGTTCTGCGGTGAGGTGACAAACGCCCCCTCCCCCCGGTGAGGAAGCGTTTTCTGAGCGCGGCGTTCGATAGAAGTGTTTGTGTGTTGAGCCACACAAACGGCCAATAAGAAGCATAAATGGTACAAACGATCGACGCAGGCAGTTACATTATAATTGACTCGACTGACACTGCTGTGCTTCTTTTGTTTTTCAGGAATGAAATAATCTATGTCACTTGCGATGCTGTTGTTGAGAAGACGGTTACTCAACCTACCGAGAAACATTCAACGTTGCATAGGCTCCGCTTTGCCAAAACTGTTGACAAAACATGTAAGTTTTTGTTAGTCCACATGTTTGCATCGATGTGTTTCCAAACGACGTATTTTGATCGGCAGCTGCAAGCTGGAGGTCCTCGTAAACCACACCATAAAAGAAACAGCAATGACAGCCACTGTTCTTTAAAGCAGGGACAGAAGAAGCAGATGATTAACCCTCGCAGGCACAGGCCAGTTTGCGTCCTTCGACGGTACAAGGCTTGGTACGACTCGCCCCCTCGCGCTTGGCCCCTGATCGAGCTAGAGGTTCGCGGAAAAACGACGTGTTGCCCGTGACGAGAGAAAGCCGATGATACCCAATTTTAAGGTCCTGGGTCATCGGTTGACCTTCCAGTTCAGGTAAATGACCCAAAAGTCGGGAAAATCGGGACCTGTTAGAACGTCGTTAAGTGTGGCTGCTATGGATGAGATTTTTCGGGTGCTGATCACGAATATTATGTTAGTTTTGATCGCAGATGATGTCTTTATGCATTTAGGTCAGGTCGGGTCAGGTCAGGTCAGAGACTAGTTCTTCCAACAGAAAAATAGCCGCCTGCAGGTTTTGTTTTGCCTAGAGACCGTTAACCCGATGGGCAAGTAAGCGGATAGGGCTTTACCGTTTACGCTCCATATGTGAAGCGGTCTTTAGGCAAAAAACTCCGGCAGGCAGCTATTTTTCTATTGGTAAAACTGGCCTCAGGTCAACCAGTAGGGGTCCAGCCGGGTACTCGTAGTCATGTCAACCGCATCTGACAGCTTCTGACAATTCAAAAAGAACGAGGGAAGCGAGCGAAGGCACTAGAAATACCAGTGCGCAGAATACCAGAAAATTCTGATTCTGATTTCTGACAAATGTAGCAGGAGATCTAATTTTTGAGTTATAAAATCTCAATATCTTTACATTTTTATATTTTGGAAATTTAAAAGTAAACATTTTAATTGCAATGGGTTTATGTACTTATGGCAAATCTTTTATTCTCTTCGTTGTTTCTTAGTTTTTTAATTCTTCGTTGACCAAAAATGGCCGAACGTTATCCCTTAGTTTGGCCTCTATAACTCATGATCTGAGATAACCTAAGACCTCAAATGTGTTCAGGATTTGTGTAAACTTGATGTCCGGAGAGGTACTGCAAGCAGCGACTCGAAATTTGCAGCCGTTTCTAGGTTATCTGCGAAAACCACAGAGGATGCCCTTTGCCCACCCCCCCCCCCCGGGTGGCGGGGTAACATGCTCACCAGAGTGATGTTTTAGTGCAGTCCTGCGATGTGTACATGCGTAAATTTGGCCGCACCTGGTGAACAGCGGTGCAGTTACCTGTCACACACGTTATGCCGACAGTGACGCCGCCGGGAGCTGGGTCCGGCTCGGCGGCGGGCCACTCGTCCCCCGCCGCGCCCATCAAGGCTCCGGCGGGCACTCCGCTGCTGCTGCTGCTGCTGCTGCTGCTGCATTTCGTCTGGGGGACAGGCGCACTGTGGACTGCCGAGCGCCGCACCGGCGGGGGGCACTGCTAGATCAGCGCCGCACCGGGAGACGCCTGTCGTGCTTGATAGCGGGACTGGTTGGACCGTTTGATGCGCATTGATGACGAATGGCAAAATGTTTTTACTATGCGCATTTGCTATCGGTTGTGGATGATGGCGCATTCTCCTTACGTCCATGTGCAACGTTAGGGGTCAACTGACTAATACTAGGCAATGCCTAGTGACGGCCAGTGCAGTGATATCCTTTTCTTGTTACCCATGTTCAAATGTGTGGGACATTGCACGTTTTGATGACTTAGAGGCTATCAATTATACTGCCTTCCTTTACACAAGTCTTAGAGTTATTACCGGTTTAGAATACACTACTAATTACTTTACATGGAACGTGACTGGCGAGGTATTGTAATTAGGTGCATAATTATAACCTCATTCGTTGTTCGAAAGTTGCGACTCTGTTTCAATAATGTTTTCCCACAAGCTCGTAAGGACCATAGCTATGTCTCAAATAGAAACGTTAACCCTCGCTGGACCTATTGGTTTTCTACTACATACGCTTTAAAGCAAGAAAATTCACGATTATTGATTTTGCAAGTCAATTTTGTGCGATGTATTTGACATCGCACACCAATATAAATAGCAGCACCGTGTTCCTGAGCTCAAACTGCTTCCGAAAGACACTTTTTTTTGTTGAAAAATTTCAACTTCAAAATTTGACCTTTTTGACCTGAAAGTGGCCTGACCTAAGCCAAATTGAACTCAAAATGACTTCGAATGACAAAAAACGACATCAAATTCGAAACATATGGCCTAAATGGACCATGAAGCATGTGTCACGTGACAGATGCATGACATAACATTTCCGTGACCTGTAATGACCTGACATTGACCTGAAAATCAAAGTACAAGTTTAATACCCTCAGGGTATCTAAAGCATCTATTCAAGAGTGCGTAAACCAAAAATGAGCCCGATCTGACGTGTAGGACGGCGGCCAGAGCCCAAAATGTGAACAAACAAATTATCGATAATTTTCGCTTTGACCTGACCTGTGACGTCATCGGTGACCTCGAGGTCAATGAAATTATGTTTCGCCCGACACTTTTTCCGGGGCTATCAGACGCCGTTTGAATTTTGACAATCGGCCCAGTTGTTCCGGAGTTAGGAGGGGGGGGGGGCTATAAATAGCCGCCCCCCCCGTAGAGCGCGTTATACGCAGACCCCAGTGGGGCGCAGGATAAGGCCTTAATCGTCATCAGACAAAATTGCAGTTTTCAGTGGGAAAATATGAAAGTCACTCTTCGAAAAATAGGTCAAGATGTAATGGTGATCGAAATTTTAAAAAAATCGGAAATCTGAGATAGAGAAAACGTTCTTTGGTTGATTGCGAGTTGAAAGATAAACTTGGCCTCATAGCAAATCAATAGTGTCTGAGTTATAAGCCGCCGAACATAGGGTTGCAGCGTGACCTCCAGGAATTGCCTGAGGCTATATCTCGGAAACCGTTGTTCGAAATAAATTCCTTGCCACAGCTGGCTGCCCGCCCATCACAACACATTACACCAATCTTAAGCAAAAAAAAAAAAAAAAAAAATAGCACATGAGGGTGTACGTCTTTGGTCGATCTATCGTGGAATGCCCACCTTCTTGATAGCCCCTCCGACCCCTGTTCCTACATCTCTGAGCAAGCCTACTCTGACTGTTATTTTAAAAGATTTAACCCGCGCATCGACGGAGGTCCGCGCCAAGCTAGAACCAGCGAGGAGGCGTTTCACCGCCCCCCCCCCCCCCTGAGACATCGAAAACTAAGCAAGATAGAAAAAAACGGTTAACGGCATGGGACACGCAGGGACAGGGTCTACAATTTTTACAAAGGTCATTTTCAGTTCATGTGGAAGATGACGTCACAGGGGTCAAAATGGTCAAAATGGCGGCGCCAGATTTGAGGAGTTTTTTTTTCTCGAATATTTTTCGAAGTAGGGAAACTAGGAACAAACTAATGGCACAATCGTGATCCTTTCCTCAATCCACATTGAATCATGTATGTGTTGACCTCGAAAGGTCAGGTTCAAAAGTTGATCTCAGGTCATGTGACCTCAAGGTCATCATGCATAACAATTAACAATAGATGCGCCTTGACGAGCTGAACACAATGAGACCATCCGCGCAGCTGTATCTTGTTCCGGTAAGGAGTTATTGGCAAAAAAACTTCGGTGACCTTTGATGACGTCACATGAACTTACAGCTGCTCAATTGTAAAACAGGGCCCGTATTCAGGTTGACGGCGTAAGTAAATATTTTTGCGTAAGTATAAAGTTCGTATTCAGGTCGACATACTTAAGTACTACCTGCACAAAAGCCATCTACTTACGCAATTTGGTGGTCGAAGAGCGTAATTAAGTTTGGTATTCTGGTCAAAAACTTAAGCAAAACCTACGCCAGGCAGATGTTTCCAAAACGGCGGCAAGGAGCGCCGCCGTTTTTGGCACACATGTTACCCGCGCATGACTGGGGTATTGTCCATAACGCGAGTGACTGGGCGGGGGGGGGGACTCTCCAGAGCCCCCTCCTATCTCAGAAACTACTGGGCCGATCGTCAAAATTCAAACGGCGTCTGATAGCCCTGGAAAAACTGTCGAGCGAAACCTATCTTCATTGACCTCGAAGTCGCCGATGACGTCACAGGTCAGGTCAAAGTAAAAGTTATCGACATTTTTGCTAGTTCACAATTTAGGCTCTGACCACCGGACCGCCGGTCCGATCAGGCTCATTTTTGGTTTACGCACTCCTTGACGGATGCCTTAGATACCCTGAGGGTACCGAACTTTTACTTCGAATTTTTAAGGTCAATGCCAGGTCATCCTAGGTCACAAAAATGGTATATCATGTATCGGTCACGTGACGCATGTTCTATGGTACATTTTACTCGTAGATTTCGAAAATAGTGTCGTCTGTGTCATTTGAGGTCATTCACAGCTGAATTTACCGGAGGTTAGGTCACTTTCAGGTCAGAAAAGGTCAAATTTTGAAAATGAAATTTGTCAACAAAAAATGTGCCTATCAGATGCAGTTTGAGCTCAGAAACACGATGGTGCCATTTATATTGTTCTACGACGTCAAATACGTACTGAAAATGGATTTGAAAAAAAAAACATAAAGTTGTAAAATTATTACAATAATGCGAATAACTTGGCTATTTTTGAAGATATTGGGCTAAAACCTGCAAATGTAGTTCATCATTGTGTGTTCTATCACATATATTCCGGTTTTTTATTTTGAAAATTGTGATAAATATGTATTTACAATTACAAAAAAAATATATTTTTAAATATTTTTCAAAAAGTTTTTGACTTTCGCAAAAACCGGAATATATGTGATAGAACACACAATGATGAACTGGTTAAGGGGGTCGGTGTTCCCCCGTCTTTCCCTATAAGTCAATGTGGAAAGTGAGAACTGCTTTTCTGGCGCCGTGCTATTCTCCAACTATCTCAAGCACACAGAATCGTGATCTGATGCACTCCTTGCAAGGTTAGATGCGTCACTTTTGCAATGCTGACCTTGAGTGACGTCATTTATGACGTCATTAGGGTCATATTATTTTTTCGTCAATAACTCCCGATCAAATTGAGCTAGCGAATCCGGAAAGCCACCAATGGACTCAGAAAGACCCGCCGAATCGAATGATATGCGACATGACCTCATTTGATCAATTTCGTGACCTGGGGGCGCTGACCTGACCGTGACCTGAGGTCAACACCCTAAGTTGACCATACCCAAACAAAAAGTATATCATTCGACGCGCCGGAGCAAGACGTACACGATGCAGCCAAAATCGCGGCTCTGCGGTCGTTTTTTGCGAAGTTATTCACCAAAAACGAAACCGTATCTTGGGGCAGTTGACCTGACCTCAGAGGTCACCGTTTGACCTAGGACCTTAAAATCGGGTATCAATCTTTGCGTCTCGTAACGGCGCACACGCTCGTTTTTCGGCGACGCGTTTTATTTCAACGGTAGCTCCACCACGGGCAAAACGGCGAGGGGGGTTCGTACTCGCCTCCCCTCTCCTCGGCCGGCGCGTATGTAGAAAATAAATGGGTTCGGCGAGGGTTAACAATCGCTTGCGTATAACTGCCGTTCCTCCTTCGAAGATTCTATTTGTTTCCATTTTCCAGCTCTGTTAGGGGATGGACGGTGAAAACACCGCGCCTGGGGCGATCTGATCAAGGTTCTCGAAATGGGCACCTGACAGTTATGTTGTGGAAGGCGAGAAGTTTATAATAGTCACGCGACTAATTGCCCTCCGGCGCCCTGTTTTCACCGTCCACCTGTCAGAGATGCTCGCAGAGCTCTAGTTGCGCAGACAGTCCGGTTTTCTGGCCGCGCTGACCGCGTGTGTCGGCCAGTGGCCCGCTGGGGCTCAGTGGTGCCGCAGCGGCCGAGCCGTGCACACCGTTCGTCCGTCACTCGTCGGGTGTGGTAGCAGCGCCGCGCCGGCGACTCAGAGGACTTGTGACCGGCGGCTCCTAGCTCGGCCCGTCACTCTCTGCCCGTGTGTGTCAGTGTGTGTCCGTGCCGCAGGAGTGCGGCCGCACCAGTCTGAGTTCCGACTGTATGTCGAGCGAGCTGGTGCGTGCATCTTCAGACAGAACGGTGGCACCAGCTGCCAGTCGCTCGGTGGTCGCGTGACCAGACGGCCGCCACTAAGTCACATGTCGGGGTAAACCAGTGTCCCGGAACTGCCTATGTGTATTGCACTCGCGCGAACAGCAGCGTGGCCGGCTGCCAACTGCGATCCACAGCGCTAGCACCTGGTTCTGCCTGCGGTGGAGGCGTGGGTCGGCACAATGCTGCGCTGCGTTCCGGCCCCGCCGGGTGCGACGCTCCGCCGCACTCGTTCACTGTGTCTGCTGACCGTTCTGGTTACGCTGGCCATCACACAGGTGCTCCTCCGAAGGCAGCCGAATGCCACGCTCAACAGTGCCCTCGGCAAAACCACGGGGCACCGCAGTCACATGTTCTCGGAGCGACTAGCCCCCGAACAGCCTTTGCCGTTCTACGGGGCTGCGAGACACATTTCGGACCAAAGGCGAGCTCCGGAGACGTCTCCCTCCAGCGGCCTGGGTATTCCCGAGAGTGCGGTGGCCGCTGGGGAGCCAGCCACTCACGATGGGCCAGCTCAGGTCAGGTCAGGTCACGCTCAGCCGGGGGGTGGCAGCGCCGGCCGTCCGACAGAGCGGCTGCTGCGCTGGGACCGAGCTGTGCCCGAGGCCAGCGAGGAGCAGCACCGACCGCTGCCGACCGAGTGGCTGTGGCGCCGCTACCGGGAGCAGCGGCGGCGAAGAGAGGTGCTCACCGCCGCCTGTCGCCGCTTCAACGTCACCCTGGCCGGCGGGGACGGGGACGGCTGCAGCCCGGACCTCGCAACACGCGGCGGAGACACGAGTGAGTGGAACACGCCACACGCACCGGGACAGAAACGTCTAGTGAAACAGTCGAAACACCTTGGTGTGCCGGCTGGTTCAGCTCTGTGTGTAGTTGTACCTGCAGGTGTCACACAGTCGACTAAGAACTGGAACGGCCCGGAACGGAAAGCGGCGGTCTTGTGCCGACGGCTGTTCACAGCAGATAGGACGGGGCACAGCGGCCACTCTAGCGTTTCCTGTGATGCCGTAGTTTGGTTTTGAAACTTAGAAATAAGATTTCTCTGCCAACGTGATCCCAATCAAATTACCTTTTTATTTCAACTTTATTTCATTTCTAAAGGTGTCATATAACATATAGGATATATTGGCAAAACGTTAAACCTTTGCGTTTTGATCATTATGCCCCGACCCCGGGGTAAAGCGGAAACCGACGACTTCCTTGCTCCCATTTAGGCAATAGATTTCAAATTCGGTGTCGCCTGTGTCACTTCAGGCCATTTTCAGCTTAATCCTCTTCCGCACATGAGGGTGGGGAGTGGGGGTGTGGTTGCCACCCCTAGGTAGTTTTTTTTTCTGCTCTGCACTCAACATTTTTAGAGCTGGAAGCCTGAGTTTTCGTATAACTGCTTCTCTATCCTTTCTTGATGTCCAATGAAGCTTTCAAGTTTCTGTGGTTTGTGGTTTCGGAGATATGACCTTGTTCTTCAGGTCCCCAGATTGTTCTTATTATCCCAATATTCGTACGCTTTTTAAACCGCGCCCCCGTGGGACGCGTTTTTTTTTAAAAAGCGTACGAATATTGGGATAATAAGAACAATCTGGGGAACATTGCCTTTCTGTCTGCCACGAAACAATGGTGACGGGCCGGAAATCCCGGTCTGGGCCATTCGAACAACCGCGAAGAGAAGTATAACGGCAACCATAAACTGGAGCTGACGCCAGTTGTGCGGGGCTAAAACGAAGGGTGGCCGCTTTGCTCCGGTTGGCTGCTTTACCCCGGTCTTCCCTAGCAGGTCTAAACCTTCGCCCCAGTGGGGAGGGGGCATGCTACCACCCTGTCGCGTTTTTTGCGTGTGAATAAAAAACGCGCCGCGCCGCTTGGAGTAGCTTGCTGTACATCAATTTTCGACAATGTGTGAAACTTTTGCCCCCATGTCATGTCAGGTGCGGTCACCAGGTCAAGTTAACTGACCAAGCCTAAAAAGTTTCCAATCATGTCCACGGTCCAGCCTGCAGTGTTTGTCAGAGAGGTTTTAAACTTGGTGTATGGCATGATGCTATGGGCACCTATAGTTTGCATATCTCGGATTGTTTACATCCGTGACCTAAGGTCAGGACAGTGGCGTCACCTTTCCATTATAAGTCAATGGAGAAAAATGAAAATGCCTCTAGATCCGTGTGTACGCATAGGAACAGTCCAAATATTTCACAATCACAATGATTTAAACCACCCGTGATGACCAAGGTATCATTTTTTGCTGATAGCCTTTAGAAAGGTCATCCGAGGTCATTTGAGGCTACAATCATATTTTTGCCAATAACTCGCGATTGGAAAGAGATAGAACGCTTGGGATGGTCTCATTGTGTTTGTCTTGTCGAGACGCATCGAATGGCATGCAATATAACCTATTTGGGTCACCACGTGACCTTGACCTGAGGTGAAAGTTTGACCTTGACCTTTCCAGGTAGAATATATTTTTTTCGAAACGACTGAAGGAGAGAAACACGATAGTGCCAATGCCAATTCTGCATCTTTGCTGGTTAAAAGTGAAAAAAGTTTCATCCAAAAACAGCTATTTTCACAATTATTGACCTATGGAGGCTTCACCGATGACCTGACATCAATTTTGCTTATGACCTCATCAAAAGGAGAGATCAAAAGTTATCGACTGCTTTTCCATGCATTTTTCTAGCTATCATAGTCCCTGAAATAACGACATGTTTTCTGAAAAAATATAATGACATCTGGCAAAGTTTGACTTTTGATGACCTCTGGGAACCCCAATATCACCCTAAGATGAAAAATGACAGGAATACATTCAAACGTACGCACTGAGAGCTATGGACTGCTTTTTACCGCGTCTTCCTAGCCCTCTTAGTTTTTGATTTAGAGGTGGGTGGTAACATATGCCCCCCCCACACACACACACAATAGCGAAGTTGGCTGAGACCACTACTGGGGCGCGGTATGAGTTAAGTAATAGTATAGGTGCGCTATGAGAAGAGGAAAATATATCGATCCAAATGTTTATCTAGTATTTGTCAATTAGGAGTGTAACTGCTTTCACTCCTCTCCTCTCTCTCTCTCTCTCTCTCTCTCTCTCTCTCTCTCTCTCTCTCTCTCTCTTTCTCTCTCTGATATACGAGTATAACAATTTAAGCTAGGCGAAAAAGCGGCCCTTCCTCTTTATAACACAACAATATCACAAAGGCCTTTTTAATAGAACTTATTCAGGCAAAGGAAGTCACGATGATGCAGCAGCACGATCGGTATGATCGGCCCATATTTGTGATTGGACAGAGTGTGGCCTGGTGGAGGAGATCAAGGCCTCCCATCTGAGCTCGGCACCCCGGCTGAAGGCGCTCGCGTGTCTGGTGAACAAGGTGGCCTCCACGTCTCTGCTCGGCACTCTGCTCAAACTCGAGGGGCGCGGCGTACCCGTGTACACGAACAGCCTGTCCAGCCCGCACGCTGACGCCGCGATACTCAGACCAGAGGTGAGACCCCCCCCCCCCCCTGGGCACCGCTCCCACGCCGGGGTACTCAGACCAGAGGTGAGACCCCTCCCCACGCGAAAGTAATAACGATACAAGTCAGTAGACACGGATTGCTGGGTTAAAAACAGCAAAGGTTTTTTCATCGCTCTAGCATGCCTCCTTGAAAATTTAGTGTTAGTCCTTTTCACGACGGCCATCTGGTTCTCATTTGGTTCAGATTAGGTGCAGATCTGGTGCAGATTTTGTCAAATTAGGCTCATTGTGTTTCTTAAAAGTTGTCAGTTTAGGTTGTTTTAATGCCTACATAACTTATTTTTGAAGTATCAGTCTTTATTTTCGATTAACCCGCGCATAACTGGGGTATTTTCCATAGCGCGAGTGACCCGGGGGGGGGGGGGGGGCTCTACAGAGCCCCCTTTCTATCTCCGAAACTACTAGGCCGATCGTCAAAATTCAAACAGTGTCTGTCTGATAGCCCTAGAAAACTGTCGAGCGAAACCTAACTTCATTGACCTCGAGGTCACCGATGAAGTCACAGGTCAGGTCAAAGAAAGAAATATTAGCATTTTGGATTGTTCACATTTTGGGCTCTGGCCGCCGTCTTAGAAGTCAGATCAGGCTCATTTTTGGTTTACACACACGTGAACACATGCTTTAGATACCCTGAGGGTACCAAACTTGTACTTTGATTTTCAGGTCAGGGTCAGGTCATCAGAGGTCACGGAAATATTGTGTCATGCGTCGGTTACGTGACACATGTTTTATGGTCCATTTAGGCCATTGATTTCGAATTTGATGTCTTTTGTGTCATTTGAGGTCATTTTGAGTTGAATTTAGCTTAGGTCAGGTCACTTTCAGGTCAAAAAAGGTCAAATTTTGAAGTTAAAATTTTTCAACAAAAAAGGTGCCTATTGGATGCAGTTTGAGCTCAGGAACACGATGCTGGTATTTATATTGGAGTATGATGTCAAATATGTACTGAAAAACTGATTTGAAAAATTATATTTGTGAATTATTGCAATAATGCGTTTGCGTATAACTTGACCATTTTTGAAGATATTCAGGTAAAACTTGCTAGAGTAAGTCATAAGTTTGTGTTCTATCACATATATTCCGTTTTTTTAAGTCAATTTTTTAAATTTTAAGAATATAAATTTTCAAGCATATTATATATAATTTTCCAAATTTCGAAAATCCGAGATAACAGCTTAATAGCGCCATCTATTCTGAGTCCTCTCATGCAAAGAAATTGGATCTAGCTTAAAAACTGAGCTCTTGGGAGCGATTGCCGTGGTTCAATTGTTTGCGTCGAAATCAACCGAACATGACGTCACTCTGACGTCATTTCCGTCCGACCTATGGTAGCTACGAAGTTTATATTTTGACACAAGGTGCCAAATTGATGCAGCCGAAGGTACTGAAAGTTTGGCGTCGATACGTCGAGCGGTTTTGAAGTTATTGCAGAAAAACGGGAGGGAGCTATGAATAGCCCTCCCCCCCAGTGGGGCGCGGGTTAAAAGAGATTTGGTTCAGATTTGGTCAAATTGATTTGCATTCACCAGAAGGCCCGTCGGGAAAATGGTTATTGATTATCAAAAGAATGCTGATGTTCTTCCATTACTTTAGACGAACTCAGCGGTATCACGTGGGTCTAAGGGTGTAATTCAACATTTTGTCATTCGATACCAATCTGACATAGGTACGGGGACCCGCATTTGCTACTGTACAGCGACCCTGAGTAAATTGTCCCAGCACCCTCACAGGGAACAACGATAAGCTGTCAGAGGGCACGCAAAGAAAACCTCAGCTGCTCTTGTACAGGGACCGGCGGTCGATATCAATGTTATCGGTTGGTACTGGACAGGACAGACGGCTAGAGATGGGGCTCGTGTACAGTAGCAACTGCGGGTCCCCGTACGATATTGAAAGAGGCGTATTTAGATTACCTTCCATTTATCAAGCTATGGTAGAACACAAAATTAGCCTGACCTCGTTTCACCGATATAAAATTATCTGAGACATGCGTATTATATGTATTATATGTCACATTTGCCAAGTGCAGAAAAATCCAAGCAATCCTTCAATCAGTGTTGCCTTGGCGAACATTTACCTATTTTTCTTGAGTTCACATTATTATCTAGTAATCTGACCTTGAACGACCTGGCTCTGAAACTGAACTTGTGCAAAACAGTATAAAATGGAGATATATGCTGTTGTTTTCGAGACCTCATCAAAACGATAATATCATCTTTAATAAAATCAGAGTGACGTTCTTTATCTATTGATAGAGGCAAAAAGTGTGCTTTATTGCAATTTATGACGTATAATCTTACTCTCACCAGGCCAGCGCCTTTTCCATAACGCGATAGGACAGAGGAGCTTTGTAGGTACTATCTACTACTTAGTACTATCTACTTACTACTACTTAGTAAGATAGTACTTAGTACTATCTTAGTAATATCTAGTACTACCAGTAAAACGCCTTTTGGGCGAAGAACGAGCGAGCGAGATAGTGAGCCCTGCACGTGCGGAAGGGCGAGAGGGTACTTCCAACGGGGCTTGTGCAAAGCACCCTTCTAACCGGTCGCTAGCGGTGTGCCAAATTTGAACGCAATCGGTCCAGCCGTTCCTGAGATCTGGAAGCGGCATTCTGCACGTGCGCACGTGCAAAAGGGGTCCAAACTGACTTTTGCACGGCACCCTACTAACCGGTCCCCAACCGTGTACCAAATTTGAGCGCAATCGGCCCAGCCGTTCTCGAGATCTGGAAGCGCCCCCTGCACGTGCGTACGTGCAGTAGCACCCTAACCGCAACACGTGGAAATGCATTGCCTGGTGGGTGCCTACCTGTATGCCAAGTTTCAGCGAAATCGCCCCAGTAATTACCGAGTTATTGAAATGGGAACAAACTTGGCACCTCTTCTTTTTTGTTTTGCACGTGCAGTGGGGGTCACTCACATAGGTCAAAAGTAGACTTTTCACGTGGCACGTGCCACGACGGTCACTGAGATGTGTCAAAAGTAGTCAATTACGGGGTAGAAGGGATACCCAGCAAAAAAGAGGATACCCAGCAAAAAAGACCGCAGGCCAATTGGTCCAGCGGTTGCTGAGATACAAGCCTCTCAAAAGCGTTACAGGCCGGGCCGGGCCGCTCATACAGGGTGTTGCAGGTAAATTGGGAATTTTCAGACCTAATTTCAACATGCTATTAATACGGTGAATGAAAACACAGAAAGTTGAAACTTCGCACGTGTGTTGTGTCATGTACGAACAGCCTTGTCACTCGATGTGACCGCCGTCGGCGTCCCGCACCCTCTCGAGACGGCGCCGGAAAGCGGAGCACGCGCGCCGGGCCTCGTCCTGGTCAATGGTGCTGACTGCCTTCCTGATGGCCTTCTTCAGGTCAGAAACGTTGGCAGGAGTGGTCGAGTTGGACTTTTGTTCTACCACGCCCCACATCCAAAAGTCGCATGGATTCAAGTCAGGCGAGTTGGAGGGCCATATGTCCTTGGGTACATATAGGGGGATCCTCTGGCTCAGGAAATCTTGCACCCTCTGGGAAGCATGTGCTGGGACGGAGTCTTGCACCAGCATGACTTTGCTCAAGTCATAGTATTTCATCATCCAGGGGATGAGAGACTCCTTCAGGATGGTCAAATACGCGTCAGTGTCGATCATCACACCAGCAGGCATGAAATGGGGCGGCATTATGCGGCCATCACTTGCGACGGCCCCGAACACCATTACTGATGCCGGATTTTTGCCTTTCATCACGGGAGCCACTTTATCAGGGCTGTAGGCGATAGCCCGCGAGTTCCTGCGGTTGGCGACCTCTTCTACGATGAACTTTTTCTCATCGACAAATACTCTGACGTCACTCCCGAGGTGCTTGAGGAGATTGAGGACCTTCGGTGCCCTCTCCCTTCGTATCGCTCTTGCTGGTTCGGTCAGGAGGCTTCGTCGTTTTCTGGTAAACGACTTCATCCCGAGGTCCTCTCTCACGGCTCTGCTGATGGTGCTCTTGCTCACGTGACGGGCACGCGCAAGCTTGTTCATCGAGGTCCTCGGTTTGGCCTGTATCGAGCGTTTCAAGCCGCTCAGGAATGTTGGTGTCCGTTTTCGGTCACTGCGAGGTGTGTGAGAACGTCGAGCGACATCCCCTCCAGCTCCTACAGTCGGGATAGTTCGGTACACGGTAGACTTTGGGTACCCAGTGAAACTTATTATGTCCTTCGCGCTCTGTCCGGCGCGAACTAACTCACCAATCGTTTCCCTCCGACGCTGCTCCATGACTGCGCGATATGTTAGGATTAAAATTTCAATAGCAAATGAAAAACAATGGTTGAAATTATATTGTGTCAAATTTCCATGATGTTCCTCCGCATACCAAATTTTTTGTAAGGTCATGAACTTAGTCCCAATTTATCTGCAACACCCTGTACTGATATTTTTCCGTTATATTGAAAAGACTTCGCTTCGCTCGCTGCGCTCGCTCGCTCGTAATTACGTCTAGGTTTGGCACCCTACAGAAAATCCTAAATCAATGTTTTTGTTTTTTTTTGTCAAATACTGAGCTTCAAAGGCTTTGGACTTGCCTGATTCTCAACTGTGTGCGTTCTTTGGACTGGTTGGTCAGTTCAAAGAACCGGTTATGGCAAAACACTGGTCAGCCTTGGTCAGGTTACTGCTGAGAACAATGGGGAGTATATCAGACATTCTCCTGTGCGAGGGCCTACATACACCAGACTGTGCTCGGACTGGTCTGCTAGACACTGGCGGATCCAGCTCAGATTTTTGAGAGGGCAAACAATAACAATTTGGTGGCTCTTTCCATGCACTGTATGTTATATATAGGCGAAATGTTAAACCCTCGCATGTGTAGGGGGGTCGGATGGACCCCCCCATGGTTTTTCGCGAATAACTCGCGTAAAACGCGGCCGATTCCAACGAAACTTTCAGTACCCTCGCATTGATCAATTTTACACCTACCCTGAAAATTCCATGACCCTGACCCAATTGACCTTTGACCTGTGACCTCTTTTCGGAGACCATGTTTGGCCGGAATCGCGATTCCGCGTATGTCGGCTCGCATTAGCCGCGCGTTTGCAAGCTTTTCATGGTTTCAAACGTTCAAACATGTGATTTGATGTTGCTCCCATGCATTAGGGTGGGTGTCAAGGTCACCTGAAGGTCAGGTCAGGTCATTGACCTTTGGTGACCTCGGTTCACTTTTTCGAGTTTTACATGTTTCTAGGCTAGTTTTTGGAGCTGAATTCGAATTTAGCAACCATTTGAACATTTACGAAGTAGTTTTGGTGACTTCGTAACATGTTACGAAGCTGTCAGAGGCGGTTGACACGTACTACGAATACCCGTCACGACGCCTACTGGTTGGCCTGACCTGACCTGACCTGACCCGACCTGGTCTAAATGCTTAAAGACATCATCTGTGATAAAACTAACACGATATTCATGATCAGCACCCCGACAAACCCCTTAGCAGCCACACTTTACGACTTTCTAACAGGTCCCGATTTTCCCGACTTTGGGTCATTGACCTGACCTGGAAGGTCAACCAATGACCTAGGACCTTAAAATTGGGTATCATCGGCTTCCTCTCGTCACGGGCAACACGCTCGTTTTTTTACGAAGCTCTAGCTCGATCAGGGGCCAAACGGCAGGGGGTCCAACCGATCCCCCCCCCCCTACACATTAGAAGCTGACAAACGCCGCACACATGCGAGGGTTAAAAATGTTGCCGTTTGGGAGGGGCAATTGCCCTTTTTGCCCTCCCCTGGATCTGCCACTGTTACTGTACCTATGCTCTATGGCACTGAAGATGGTTCGAGGACCTGATTGAACCTGATTGGGGACCTCTCAATTTATAAGAAGCAATGCTAAGCTAGCTGCATTAAAGAGTTATCGATGCATAGTATTCGAGTCTGTAATTTTTTGTTGTATTTTCTAGACCATTACGTGCTACCCAGAAACCAAAATAGGATGTGGAAAAGAACCACCGATTTATATCGGAAAGTTAAATCCAAATGTAGTACCTGTTGAATAAGCTTTAACAAAGAGGAGCAACGCAATCAATAACTAGACTAGCGTAGTGCAAAGAAGTTCGAACAGTAGCCTAAACACACACACTCTCTCTCTCCCTCTCTCTCTCCCTCTATCTCTCCCTCTCTCTCTCTCTCTCTCTCTCTCTCTCTATCTCTCTCTCTCCCTCTCGCCGCCCGTCAGAAGCCGGGAGAGCTGGAGATGGCCCGCCAAAAATACATAAAGGTGATGTTCGTTCGCCACCCGATGGACCGTCTCATCTCCGCCTACGAGGACAAAGTGATGCGAGCCAACCACACCAGCCTCCTGGCGCTCCGTGAAGCCATCTTCGCGGCACATCAGCATCGATTTATTCTGAAGAAGGCTATCACAATGTACAGGTACGTCAAAGCTCACACAATGGTCACTTCAAACTAGAATTTGGTGCTTTGTGTCTTAGAATGTGTTCCAGTTGACACGCTACAGTAACCCCTTAACCCGCGCCGGGCCGGTGCTCCGCGACTTCCGCGCCGGACCGGGGGGTCTGAACACCCCCGTCTAAGTCGGCTCCTGGGCAACGTAGCGACACGGGGTAAGCGGCATTCGAAACAGCATAAAAAATAATGACGGAAATACCCTGGTCATTTTTTTGGGTCAGGTCAAAGGTAAGGTCGCCAGAGCCAGAGGTCATCAAAGGTCAAATGTAGTCCATTTCAACAAATTTGGAAACTGCCAAGGGCTAACTCGGGAACCAATAGAGCTACAGCGCCGCGAAAAAGTGCATTCGATAGCCCTTTTACAGACCTTTCTGATCGATATTCTCAGATTTGACCTCAGGTCAACGGTTTTGCCTCCAGAGGGCAAAAACTGTAAAAATAGCAGTTTTCACGAAAATGTTTTTTTTTGTCAATAACTTTTGACTCAAGAGAGCCACGACATAACGTTTGGCAGCACCGTGTTCCTCTTGTCGAGACGCGTCGAATGAACTATTTGTTGACCTTGAAATTTCATTTTGAAAATTTGACCTCAGTTCAAGGTCATGACCTGACCAGAAAGGGTCATGTTGCATATCAGTCGATCCGTATCGTCGAGCTGAATACATCCGACGTGTTTTCATCGCTCTAGCACGTCTTTATCAAAAGTTATAGCCAAAAAACTGCTGGTGACCGTTTATGACCTGAGATGACCTCAGGTGCACACAGAAGGGTCACAGGTGCATGTTTCCGATTTAGTGAGTCATATTTACCCATGAACTGATGTTTGAGAGGGTTTTGAACACCATTCGTTCAAAATAGGCGCATTTGAATTTTCTCCCATTGACTTATAATGGAGAGGTCGCAAAATTGACCTGACCTTAGGTCACCGATATCAAAATTCCGAGATTGACGTTTAGTACATACTGTTACTCTTATCAATCGCTGAAAGTTTCAAGGCGATTATTCAGTTGCTGTAGCTATGACGAGGATTGCAGCTTTTTCTGAGGTGAGGTCACTTGACGTGACCTGGTGACCTGACCTTGAGAGCCCTGGGTCTGAAATTTTCACAACATGTGTAGAAAAGATGCATGATCTGCGAAAACCGCAGGGGGTGTTCAAACCTCCCCCGGCCCGGTGCGGGTTAAATTACACCTGAACAATCTTTGAACCTTTCCGGATACCTGTGCAATGTCACGGATAGCACGTCTCTGAAAATGCTTCCCGTCTTTTGCAGCAATTATCCAGACAAGAAGGACGAGCTTAGCAAGGCATACTACGCAGAACTAGCAGACTACAAGAAAGAGACAGAGCGTCGGAACAACGTGCCGACCTTCCAGGAGTTTCTGGACTTTATCCTGAGCGGCCAGCTCACTGGTGAGCGCTATCCTGAGCGGCCAGCTCACTGGTGAGCGCTTCTGGAATGTACTCAGGAGTCTGCACCGCTGACCTTGGTGCCCTAGGAGCTCAGAGTCCGACTGCATATTCCCACCTCAGACAATATTATGGTGAATGTGATACCTGTAATTGGTGCTGATAAAAACGGAACTAGAAAAGCTACGGCAAGCGGATAGCTGGATCCCATTTATAGGTCTGCTTGTATAGGGCACATCAGCGCACAGCACGGGTCCTGCCCTCCAGTCATTTTGTGAGTGGCTGGTCTGCAAAACCTGCTGGTCCACCGGTTTCTTGTTTGGAACCTCCTTTTCTCGACTGGTTCCCTGTTTTGATAATTCTGTGCAGGATGGTGCAATACTTTGGAATTAACCATCCTAAATACACAACATAGCCTATTGAATGATCCTCGCGGGCCAGGGGGTTGATAAATCCCCCCCCCCATTAACCCTCGCATGTGTGCGGCGTTTGCCAGCTTCTAATGTGTAGGGGGGGGGGTCAGTTGGACCCCCCTCCTTGCCGTTTGGCCCCTGATCGAGCTAGAGCTTCGCAAACAAATGAGCGTGTTGCCCGTCACGAGACGAAGCCGATGATATCCAATTTTAAGGTCCTAGGTCATTGGTTGACCTTCCAGGTCAGGTCAATGATCCAAAGGTCGGGAAAATCGAAACCTGTTAGAAAGTCGTAAAGTGTGGCTGCTCTGGGGTTTTTCGGGGTGCTAATCGCGATTATCGTATTAGTTTTGATCACAGATGATGTCTTTAAGCATTTTGACCAGGTCGGGTCAGGTCAGGTCAGGTCAACCAGTACGGGTCGTGGCGAGTATTCGTAGTAGGTGTCAACCGCCACTGACAGTTTCGTAACATGTTACGAAGGCACCAAAACTACTTCGTAAATGTTCAAATGGTTGCTAAATTTGAATTCAGCTCCAAAAACTAGCCTAGAGACATGTAAAACTCGAAAAAGTGAACCGAGGTCACCAAAGGTCACTGACCTGACCTTCAGGTGACCTTGACATCCACCCTAATGCATAGGAGCAGCATTGAATCACATGTTTGAACGTTTGAAACGACGAAAAGCTTGCAAACGCGCGGCTAATGCGAGCCGACGTAGGCCGAATCGCGATTCCGGCCAAACATGGCCTCGAGAAATAGGTCACAGGTCAAAGGTCACTTGGGTCAGGGTCATGAAGTTTTTAGAGTAGGTGTAAAATTGATCAACTGGAGTGTACTGAAAGTTTCGTCGCAATCAGCCCCTTTTTGCGCGAGTTATCCGCGAAAAACCATGGGGGGGGGGGTCCATCCGACCCCCCCCTACGCATGCGAGGGCTAAAGCCTGGAATAGACTCATTCCCCAATCAGCAAATCGCATGCGAGAGTCCATTCAAATACATGGAAGCACATGGAAGCTCTGGACTACGCTAACTGGCGCAGTGGGGCCGATTCGGCCCCTCCTTAATATTTTAAAAACTAAATATTCGATCTTGATAGAACAAACGCCATTCCATTGCTCTTATTGTGATTGCTCTTATTGTGAAATTCAGTGTGATGAAACGGTCAAAGCCGGGCCAAAACTACCCCCGAGAAACTCGTCCTGGAGATGCCTCTGCGCAAGCCAGAAGCTCAAAAATTTGACGCAATGTGCCTAATGAATAGCAAGGAAAAGTCACCAAATTTCGAGCCCCTGGCTTAAGTCATTTCCGTCGAAAGCGAAAAAACTACAGGTGGGGGCCGATTCAGCCCCCCCCCCCCCCCCCCCCCACCAATAATAGGGCTAAAAACATGTTCGCAGCTTCACGTCTCGTTCCCCTGCAATACAAACGTATTGGCTAATAATCCTCATTGCCTTGCTTATTCTAATGAAAGTGACCAGGGGCTGCACTACCGGTAGGGTCGCGGGGTCCAGACCCCCAATAATTTGACTTTCGTAATGCTGCCTAATGCATAAAGGCGTGCGTTTTAGGATTGGACAATGACATCCCCCAGCCTGCGACCGTAGTGGAGCCCCTGAAAGTGACCAGCGCACGCTGCAAAGCTGTCACAGCGATATAGTCGACATGTCCACCCATGATCACTCCCCGCCATGCCTGTTATGCCAACGAAACAGTCGAGCGTGCCTGCTATGCCGGGAACATTCCGTTGAGGTGCATGGTGATTGCGCTCTTGGTAGCCCTGAACTCCTTCGGTTTTTAGAACTCCCACTGCTGCAGACCGCTGCTCCAGTGCGGTTCTTTTGGAGCGGGCTGGATGCCACAATTCTGATGTGGAGATGCCACTACAAACTTATATACTCCCAAGTGGCTTTAGTAAGTGGAGTACGTGGACCTATTAAGCGGATTTATTAACTATGGGTTTATATGGAAAAATCCGTGAACAGCTTAAGCGGTCATATTAAGCGGCTGGGTTTATTATTCGAGGATTTATTAAGCGGATTCTACTGTATAATCATATATCATGGCAAAGGCAAAAATCGTGGTAAAATGGACGCTACGGGACTTTGGGGATACCTACCCTGTAAGCAGGGTATCCTAAAGTCGGGGATACCCTGTAAGCAGGGTATCCCAAAGTCGGGGATACCCTACTTACAGGGTATCCCCGTACTTATAAATTATTACTTCCAGTAATAATTTATAAGTTTTAATTATTACTCCCAGTACTTATAAATTGGCAGTCGGGGTCAGATGGTCTGAACACGCACCGCGTAGTGTCTGGGCGAGGCACACGTCGCGCTCTCCGGTCCCCAGCTCTGTCCCGGCGCGACGCCACGGGTCGCCCCTTCTCGACGGTCTAGTGCCACGGAGGTCGGGCCTTAGCGGCTCACGTTGCGTGATGTGCACAGTGCACATGTTTGACATGCCGTTCCTGAATGTTCTTTGAGATGGAACACTGCCAGTCTCCGCCCTGTCCTAAAACAGCCAGCCTCACACTAGCCGCGTTTACATAGGGCTAGTTGCCAGATAGTGGAATTCCGATACCGAGACATTTATTCCAATAGGCTAATAGGCCGGATAGGTTGTCAGAACTAGCGGAATGTGCCTGAAATGTCTCGTTAGTGGAATAAATGTCTCGTTAACGGAATTCCACTATCTGGCAACTAGCCCTATGTAAACGCGGCTAATGATATGCTGTTTCGCCGCCAGGAGACTCATTCGATAGCCACTGGACGCCGTACTGGCGCCAGTGCGCCCCGTGCCACATGAATTATGACGTCATCGGAAAACTGGAGACCGGCACCGACGACTTCAAGGTAGGTCACGTGGACAACCGACCTGATCTAGTGGTCGGCCTGTGCAGTGTAGGTAACGTGGACAACCGACCTGGTCTAGTGGTCACCTGCAATTTCGATGACATAGAGATAAACAAATGTGGATATTTTGCATTAAACCTTTTACTGGTGGGCTTTCTGGACTACGTTAACTGGTGGAGGGGGCCGTTTCGGCCCCTCCTTGATATCTCGAAAACCAAACGTTCGATCTTGATGGAACAAACGCCATTCGATTGCTCTTATTGTGAACTTTCAGATTGACTAAAAAAAAGTAAAAAAGTTCGAAATTGGGGTCCTGGAAGCAAAAGTTTTCGAAAAATTGCGTTTTACACCTCATCTGTAAGCTTACATCTGTAGGCTTTTTATCAGCGTGCGATTGTTAAAGGTAGTGTGCCAGCTTTCTTGGACCGTATGGAGTTAATGGCCCAGATAAGGAGAACCGGATTTTTAGAACTTATCCATACCTTCAAAACTCATGGAAACGTCTTAAATTCTTCAAATTTTGAGTACCCCAGTGCGAAATTCGCCCCGACGGGTTGTCGGTCGTACCCCAACCACATTTCACACCACTATGAACAATAAATGCACACACTGAAATCGCTATTACCGATATGCTCATCCAATCAAGTTTCGATAAACCCGTTCATCATCAGCTCCTGCGGTTTCGAACACGCCTGTTAGGTGGTGCGGTAGACCACGCCCAAAGCCAGGGCCCCGGTAACGTGAGGTAGCCGAGTCAGGGCAGCGTGCGCTGACCCAAGCCGGAGCCGCGCGTCCTCCCGGTGTCATGTGATAGCCCGGGGCTGCCCGCGGGGATGCGGTAGACCGCGCCCAAAGCTGCGGCCCCGGCTTGGGTCAGCGCACGCTGCCCCGACTCGGCTACCTCACGTTACCGGGGCCCTGGCTTTGGGCGCGGCTTCTGCTCATACTTTGTGGTGCGGTGGTGGTGCGTCGGGCTGCGCGCTCTGACTTCGGCCAAGAAAAATGCGTCAGCTGATCATTGTCATTTCTGCCACTTGCGTGTGGTGAAATGGGGTCATAACTAATAAGACGGCTTTTTCATATCAATTATTTTACATAAAATCATATTTCAAACCATAAATAATGTTCGACAGCCAAATAAAAGAAACAATACCAATACGGGCTTACAGTTTAAGGCTCGACATTGTGTTGTCTACGATTAGACAGCTGATAACTCATTCCCGTACGTCGTATGGTCGTAACACTATAATGACCTTTGCTTATTGTCACAAGTGCGCCGCATTCGCGATTGTTGCCCGACGCCTGTTTGCAGGTGAGTCCACTACAGTTGTTATACATATCTAAAAACCGATAAACTTTTAGGCAAAAAAGGCACTATTCCAGGCCCATTTTTGATTTTTTTTTGCGATATTAGGAAAAAACAGAAGCTTCTTATCCTAGGAAAAATAAAATGGGAAATCTTTCAAAGGTGGCACACTACCTTTAAATAGGCCGTACAACTAGCCGCCTTTGTTTCACGCGCACCGACGGGGGGGGGCGGATATCCGCCCCCCCCTGAGGTTTTTCGCGAATAGCGGGAAAACCGCGGCGCTACGCGCCGCGAAATTTGGTAACACCATTTTGTCAATAATTTTACACATGGTGTGCAAGTTTGAACCTCCTACCTTTTAAGGTCAGGTCACCAGGTCACTTTGAATGACCCAACCTCAAGTCACTTTTTTGCAACTTTGTCACCGTGCCAGAGCTACAGTATATATCGAAGGCCTTTGAAAGTCGCAGGATGTTATTAGGTCATAAGTAGCTACAATTTGTTTATCTCGGAATTTTGATATCGGTAACCTAAGGTCAGGTCAATTTCTCGACCTCCCCATTATAAGTCAATGGGGGAAAAATCAACTACCTGTTTTTACCACTAAAACGGGTCGGAATGGCCCCATATACCATAAATGACCTTATATGCGATCAACCTTCACTACCTTGAGGTCTGTTTTGCTGTTGGGCAGCTGTAAGGTCATGTGACGTCATCAAAGGTCACCAAAGTTTTTTTTGTCAATAACTCCGTACAGGAACAAGATACAGCCGCGCGGATGGTCTCATTGTGTTCAGCTCAACAAGACGCATCGAATGATATACATGATGACCTCGAGGTCACGTGACCTGAGGTCAACCTTTGACCTTGACCTTTCGAGGTCAACATATATAATATTCGATGCGGATTGACGAGAGGATCACGATGATATCCTTAGTTTGTTCCTATCTTGGCTAATTCGAAAGTTATTCGAGAAAAAAACTCTCTCCATATATAGCGCCGCCATTTTAACTTTTTTAACCCCTGTGAAGTCATCTTTGACCTGACCTGAAAATGGCCTTGGTAAAAATTATAGACCTTGTCCGTGCGTATCCGATGCCGTTTACTTCTTGTCGCTATCTTGCTTCGTTTTCGAGATCTCAGGGGGGGGGGCGGTCTTCCCCCCGTCGGTACTAAGTTGGTGCAGACCCCCGTCGGTGCGCGTGTCAACATCACGGGACGGCAGGTATGCCACCCACCTGCTGCACACTTGTTTTTATTTTTCCCAATCGCTCTGGAATTTCGCAAACTCCCTGACCGGTCAGTGAGTTTGCAAACTCCCTAGTGAATTTGCAAACTCACTGATGGGTCAGGGAGTTTGCAAACTCACGGATTTCTCAAACTCCCTGTAACATATATATGATTTGATGTAGATTGACAATGACAATGATCCAGCCGTATGACCGCCCCCCGCGTCGGTGCGAAGTTGGCGCGGGCTAAAGTTCTTAATATATCCGTATCTTCAGTACTTGTCTTGCAGACGCTGGGTGCATGACAGTATATATCTGTGTGTTGTCAGTACCTGTGGCACCTGCTGGGAATATACAAGACGGTGGGAATCCCGTGGCTGCACGGGGAGCGGCGGCCGGCCTCTGCGCTGGACGGACGACTGCGCGCCTACCTGGGCCCCCTGCGGCGCGACTCGGTGCAGCAGCTGCGCCGCCTCTTCCGGCCCGACTTCCACATGTTCGGCTACGACTGGAGGGTCATGCTGGACCTGTCCGGCCACTGTCAGCGCAGACAGCCGTGTGACCTCGAGTGACCGGCACTCTGCTACCTCTCTCTCCCCTGGATATGCTCCGTTTGGACTCAACAAAGAGCTTACACCTTGCCAATGTAATGAGCTTTGCTACACGAATGTACGGAAGGGCGCGCTAGAGGTTTTATTGAGAGGTAGCCGATTCACCGCTGCCACACGATGTATGGTGGTGTACGAAATCAATTGATATCAATCAATAAGCGACGTGATACTAAGCCAGTGAGAGCTTCTTGGGGTTGAGGTGCCATTTCCATGGGTCTTGCCAATCAACAGGAATTAAAATGTGTGATTCAGCGACTATGTGGGCTGTGGACGAAATGCGGTACGAAATGAATGTACTTACATATTTGTATACCATATTGCGTGCCGGAGCGCTGCATAGAGCAGTGCCTAACTTTAAGTGGGCTGGTTACTGGTATGTGTCAATATATGCCACACTTTTTGCATTTCATTTTGAAACTTGGCAGGTGTAAAAGGCGTTTGAGCGCTGGGTGTAGCTATTATTCGTGAGATTGACTGGTGGGGCTTTACTCTAAAGCCCCGTCTAATCTCCAAAACTGCTGCTTTCATTTTCCATTATCATTAGGCGACTGATAGCTCCGGAAAAATTGACGGAGGAGACCTAATAACATAGACCTGGAGGTCACTGGTCACGTCACAACGAAGCTCAAATAGAAGTTTTCGACATCGATGCGTTTTCTAACCTGGGGTTATGTCCCCATGTCACATCAAGCTCAATTTCGGCTTGAGAACGTAGAAATGTATGATGCTGATCAGGCAAAAACTTCAAATCATGAATTCCTGCCTTTCAGCTCCAGTTAAACTCAATAGCTCGATGGTGCAGTTTGTATGAACGTGTGACTTTGTAAAACTTGCTGTAAACTTCATTTGTAGGTATTATTATGTAGGCATGCTAGATTAGATCGACAATAGTTATATGAAGAAGAGATGCACTTCACTCATTTTGGATATCTACCAAATGGTATAGATCCAATCGTAATATTTGATGTTCATCTGTCTCAAGTTTTTTTTTTGTGGGATTCAAGAAACTGGGTGTCCGATCATCCCGACCCATCATGCTAATTGTGGTAACGCCATTCCCCTATTGGTCTCCGACATCCCTATTTGCGTTCGTGACGTTCCCGTGACAGCGAGCCCACGAAAGGCGGTAGCGCGCCTCAGCCCGATGGGCGGCGCCCGGCGGACCGGTCAGCGCGGCTGCCCGGCGCCCGCTCCGGCCGGACCGGGTCAATAAACGGCTCAAGGTCGCCAGGACGGTCCGCGCACCACTCTCGGGACCGGTTCTCCTGAACTTGACCTGCGGGCAGGAGTCTGCCCAGGCCCCTGGCGAAGGCGGGAACATACGCTGCTGCAGCCCCCCCCCCTCCCCGCCCTACCCTGTCCGGGCGAGACGAACAACTGTCTCGTGCTCACTAGAACTCACCGAAATCGAAATCACACCCGAAATAGAATTGAAATCGAGGTTACACTCCGCATTGTTTTCGAACAAATAACAGCAAAACAACAGCACCTCCACCGTTCAATGCTTCTATCCTCAGGATACTGAAATCCTTCTCCTCCACACCGCCACCCCACTCCGGGCTGGACAGGCAACTTTATCTCATGCGGGCTGCTCCCTTGGAGCGGCACCGCTGCTCCCGAGGGAGCGCACCCCGTAGCCGGGTGCAGTGAGTGCCTTGGGGCTGGGTGGCCTGTCTTCGGATGGGCTCAGCCCCGGCGACTCACTAGGGTGCTTGCCCAGACCAATGTCTCCCCCTATATCCTATAATCCTCCCGGCTCTGAAATGGTCTTACTGGACCGAAAGGGCCTAACCCAACAAAACAAACAAACAAAACAGCACCTCCAAAACAACTGCATAGCACGTGGATGACGCCCACGTGCACGTGAAACCGCCAACAAAGCTGCGGTAGGTACCGACCCGTGATAGTGGCCTTACTTCACCCTGCTTATCGATCCGCCTGCCCTCATTCTTTTGATATGCACTTGTATCATACCTACTGCACTAGCTGCGCCGTCCATATTGCACACGCGAATAATGAAGACGTTGGGTGAATGTGTCATCCCGACCTCATAGGAGGGCGGTGGGTTGTCGGGCCGACTCCTCCTCCTAGAGAATGGAGATACCAGAATAGCAGGCGACACAAACAGCATGACAAAGGCGATATAGCACGCCGTTAGAGGCATCGCAGGGATGGAGGTATCCGCCATGGTAGAGTTCCGCACCGTTCTTCTGATATTGCCAGTGGCGACTCACAACAGATCAGCTTACCGCTCACAGCGAGTCTGACTTCCATCGCCATTCGCCAGCCCTGCGCGCCGAGCTCCCCGTTCCAGCCAGAGCTGAGAGCCGGGTACTGATCTCGCCGATCTGCCGCCGGGGTCCCACTGACCGCCCCGGCTGCCGTCAGACACGGTCACCACGCTCCTGTCGCAGCGGCGCCGTCCGGGGAAGGAGGCGGCCTCCCTGGCGCGGCGGCATGTGCATCCCATTACCCCACAACAGAAGCTGCATCCCACTACTGCGCGGCCGAGGCGCTGACGCCTTCCCAATGACCCGGGACCCGCTCCATCGGCGAGAGAGAGAGAGAGAGAGAGAGAGAGAGAGAGAGAGAGAGAGAGAGAGAGAGAGAGAGAGAGAGAGAGAAAGATAGAGAGAGAGAGAGAGAGAGGGAGAGAGAGAGAGAGAGAGAGAGAGAGAGAGAGAGAGAGAGAGAGAGAGAGAGAGAGAGAGAGAGAGAGAGAGAGTAATGACAGGGCAAGGAAATCCTGGTATCCTCTTATGTAAGATAATTTTGTATTTGACGGCTTTCTTGTATTATCCTTTTATTGCTATGTTCCCGACTATGTTACTGATATACATAAATGCAGCCAGGGAGATCAGATATGCTTTTGCCTTGCATTCCGGTGGTTGAAAAATGAGATTTCGGTAGGTAAATTGCTTTGATGGGAGACGTGATCACATTTCCTACTTTCAAGCAATTCCATGCATTTTCAAGCAATGAAATCAAAAGGCTTGTAACTGGGCATTTATGCCAAACTTTTTAAACGTAACATCGTGCCCCATTTCCTCACGTATCGATCATATAACGCGTGGTTATACTTTCGGGACAATGACCAGCCATACAGAATAGCACGTGCATGGCTAGGCGTTACTCACAGATCTAAAAAGCAGTCTAAAAGGCATGATATTGATTAGATGGTGGCTAGGTACCACATCAGGGATAAGAAAATACCTTAGTTATATAGTACCAAGACGTACTAAAGAAGCTGGTACAGTGACATTATTTACCCTCGCCAGGCGAGGGCCTTTTTCATAAAGCGGACGGAGAGGTACGACCCCCCCCCCCTTACGATTGGCTCCTATGGCACTTAGGAACTCCAAATGTACAGGATAGGTGGGCCCATAGGAGATCTCGCCCCTGCACTCGCCGCCGTTTTTACATATTTGCGGAAAACCTTAGGGGGGGGGGAGGGCGCATCACCCCCCTCGCCGGGCGAGGGCTAGTTATCGCTATGCTGTAGAGATCATATGTAGTACGTATTGCAATGGCTAAAATTGAAATGTTTGTTACATTAGTGTTCGTCACAATTCATGTTTCAACTTCGTATTTTCATTAAGTATATTTCAAAGATCATGCACTAGCTGATTAAATAGCAACGGAAAACAGCGGAAAATAGCGTTTACCCTTGAAGTCATGGTAAGGCTGAACCGCACCACACAAAACTCAACTGCCGATGTCAAAACATTTGCAGGGAGCCTTAACGCATCCATAATGTCAAGGCAATGATGAATCCTACACGGGTGTTTTAACTCGATGCATCCGTCAAAATTGTTCGCCTCATCAACGCTCTTGTATATGTAAAAGGCGATGAGCTCTTTCTCATCAGCTAGTCTCAGAGTCATTACCACACACACACTCTAACTTGCGCGTCAATCATTGTGCTATATAATCCAAGAAATCCAGCAACCAAAGGACGAGTGGTCCATCTTCAGAAAGGACCATCTAATTAACCTATGTAGTAGGTACATACATACACTGCAGGGGAGCGATCACTTGTCCAGCAAGGCTGGTCCAGTGTCCAGCGGCAGGTGTTCAGCCTTTGGTCCTGGCCGTGTCAGAGCTCCAGCAGTCGCTCGCGGCCAGGCAGCCAGCAGTTGTGCTGGTCGTTCAGACGGTGCCGCTGGCCAAACCCCGGTGTCAGCGCCTACGTCCAGCGGGCGGAGACGGATGGGAGCAGCACCAGCAGCGCCGCGGCCCATCCGACCGGCCACCGGGCCGCGCCCGACGACGGACCAACTGGAATCAAACACACCGCGCCGTCACACCGCGCAAAGGCGAGTAACATTTGGACTCGTTTGATAAAGCAGCCCTGCACGCATCATACCTTTACGTGCGACGCTGCATACATCCAATTTAAAGGGCACCACCTGAAGATGCATGCATACATATTCTCAGCCATCATCAAAAATAAACAGCAAATTTATCTAACAGTGAGTTCGAGCAGCTACCGTACTTTTTGAATCCGTGGTCCGTCGGTAGTGAAGGTCGTCTCTTGTAGCAACGTCCGTTCCCATGTGGATAACCGTTTTCTTGATGTCGGCTTCGCATGTCACGTGAATTTCTTCCTTACTGCAACAGAAAACATTGTGATCCAATGGTGAATGGGATAGAACATTAAATTTTAAATAAAAGAAATCGGCTGCCGAGGAGCCCTTTTTGCTGAGGAGCTCTGACGGATGGCGTCCCAGCGGTGACCGAATCCCAGCGTGGAACTGCAGGCACTGGGCAGGTGTACGAGGTGCGCTCACCGCGCCATCTGTCCGGTGCCTGTGCCACACGACTGCCGCTCGGCAGCCGACTCCGGGCCACGACTGCCAGTCGGCAGCCGACTCCAGGCCACGACTGCCGCTCGGCAGCCGACTTCGGGCCACGACTGTGGCTCGGCAGCCGACTCCGGGCCACGACTGCCGCTTGGCAGCCGACTCCGGGCCGCCTCCGGAGACACTCCGATTTGGAGAAGGGACAGCCTCCCAACAACAGACGCAGTTTCATCACACTCATTTACAGGCTAACGCGTTTTTGGCTGTCCCAGGACATTCCAGGTAGGGGACGGGTATTGGCTGCCATTGTTCGGGCTTACCTGGGGTCGGGGCCCAGCTGTAGCGTCAGACCGACTCGGGCCGTTTGCAGACCTTCCTCGTCAACTTCCGTGGGCCAGCGGATCAGCCGCCCATGGTCAGCCTGTCAAACGATTGAAATGTACGTTGAGCGAAGGGCGGTCTATAATAGCCTTTTTCACGACGGGCTATCCGGCGAATGCACCTAATATGACCAAATCTGCACCTAATCTCTTTTACAACAAATATCTTCATTTTATGAATTTATTTCGGTGTTTTAATCGATGATACTCTCTGATAAGCTGATAAAGCAGACATATAAGCAATTAGTGCAATCCTAGCTGATAGCTATTAAGAGACACGCTGAACCTAATTTGACCAAATCTGCACCTAATCTGCACCAAATGTGCACCAAATGTGTACCAGATGGCTGTCGTGAAAACGGCTAATATGCTTCAAGTATATTAGCCGTTTTCACGACGGCCATCTGGTACATCGCAAACACATCGGAGCATAGTTAACATTGCATTATTCATATAAAATAAAGCTTCATATCGAGCGTGCTATATTCTCATGGCAATACACAGTTTGACTTCCTCGGCTGCTTGCAATATTAGTGTGGTAGCTTAATAGGAACAAACAACAACCCGGCTTACTATCTATTTGGGAAGTCCAGTTGTTTTTAAGTGGTGCCATTTATTACCGTGTACGCTTACCTAGCTGATATAACATGGATCAGTTTGCCGCTTAAAAGTAAGTCCAGCTAGCCAGCATCCCATGGGGAGGAGGAGGGGAGGGAAAGAGCAAAACCAGCCCTCACACGTAAGTCCGCAAAGCTTAAATTTACATACGGCAAAAGGATGCTGTATGTCGGCATCCTTTTGACACATAAGTCCATTGAGCAGACTAATGGCGAGGTCTATCATTGGTCTACAAGGAGGCCAGTACTGGGGGTTCGAGGGGGCAGTGATACTAGACAACCCATTTTAACCCCCGGCCTGTTGGGCGGGGGGGGGGGTGTTGAAAACGTCTTGTTACAAACTGTCGTTTGCCACCTCGTCCAACCCGCTGCGACTATTGGTTCTCGAGTTATCGGCTGGGGACGTTAAACGACCCCCTCCCTGCCCCGACAGAGGTGGGAGGTGAAATACCCCAGAGACTGCCACGGTAATTAACAGAAGTGAGCAGCCTAAACTGCCCTGCGACAAAGACAATGGAAAGAATATCATCATGCATGAATAGAAGGAAGGTCAAGATTAGCTTTGTCTATGAAGCTTACCCCTTGTATGACCCAAATGATGAAGATGCATGTCTCTCTGGCGTTGCTAACCTTGTGTGATAGTGTAGCCGAGCGACAGATTGCTTGAGTGGCTTTTCTCCATTTTTCTGCACCCATCCGTTTAGGGGTAAAACGGATGACAGAATCGGCTCCAGCTCGGCAGGGTGCGTTCGGATAAGCAATTACCGCAGGGGTCGAGATAAGGGTCACCTATATGACGAAATGACATCGCTATAGTTGTCTCATGTGTGTCGTGTGTAATATCTACATACACCATCCTATTGGGATCATTTTGGGGCATCGCTACGCACGTACCGGTTTTCCGTCCACGGACCAGGTGATGTTGGCTGCCGGGAAGGACTTGCCGGCGGTGCAGTTGATCTCGAGGGTACCGTTGGCCACCCAGATGGCCTCCCGAAACCCGCTGATGACCGGGTCAGAGGTGGGCGGGGCTGTGGGGCAACGGGACACGTACCAAGGAATGCAAATAAACACAAACAACTGGCAGCAAATCTGGCATCAATTAAAAATCTGAAGACCGAAAGAAAGCAGTACTGCTTCACATGTACTATTGGTCTCAAGATAATGGCCCAGGCGACCAGCGACCTGTAGTTTTGATGCGATGAATACCATTACCCTTGCCACAGCTCGGGCTGAGTGAACCCCTCACCCCCACTTAACCCCACCCACACTCAAGTTGTGGCGAGGGTAAGGGTATTCAACGCATCCGAACTACAGGTCGCCTGGGCCCTTATCTTGAGACCGATAGTATAATCCATAGGGAATTAATTTATATCGCAGTGCCTAAAATATAGCATCTAGAAAAAAATAGCTACCCCAATGAAAAGAGCAGCTTAATTAATTAATAATTCCGCATGATGCTTGAGCCTTGAACTAAGACATCTCGATTAGCAGACATGTTACCAGTTACTTAGGTGGCTATGTAGGTAGGTAAATGGTTTCTTATTTGTAATGCCCTTTGCTACGTAAAGCATAACAAACTCTTCATTGTGTGGTTTCTTGTAACAAATATTGAGCATTTATATAAGTTTTCGTTATAGGAGTTTTTCACCATTCACTTCACGGAAGGAAACATTAACGCTCACCTATCACGAGCATGCTCTGCTCCTGCGAAGACACCGAGTTTTTGGCCGACGAGGCAACGCAGTGATATTTGCCGGCCGTGTTCACCTTCACCGACTTGAGAGTCAGCGAGCGAAAACCCGAATCTTCTTTCTGCGAACGATGGGTCAAAAGTAATCCAACACGCTTGATTTAATTACACAGCACCGCTAAGTGCTCGCAACGGTTAAGTATGTTGCATTCTGTTATTAGCGAGTTCTCAAGCATCCTTAGTCTGCATTTAAGCTGCACTACCCTGCTCATTTCTTAGTCGTTTCCTTCTTGTCGTAAGGCTGAAACAGTCTCTTTCCGCGTTCAGGAAATCGCATGCGAGAGCCTATTTAAATACTTATAATTTTTCTCGCATCAATCGCATCCGGGAGGTGCGTGCGATTGATGCGAGCGTGCTTCCATGTATTTGAATAGGCTCTCACATGCGATTTCCTGACTGCGGAAAGAGTCTGTTTCAGGCATTAGACACAAGTGCTAGCGTGGACGTCAACTTCACGGACATTACCGTGCACGCACTCAATATATGCGTGATTGGCGCCATTCGGTCGTCGATACTCACGTCGACCTCGACGCCGGGCACATCGGAGAGTGTGATGTCCACGTTCAGGCCCTGGTTCACGGCGTGGTAGAACTGCACGCCGTCCTTGAACCAGGTGACGTTGATGGCACCGGCGCCCTCGCCGTCGTGCTCCTGGTACCCGCACCTCAGGTGGGCCACGTCCCCGCGGATTTTCAGCGCCGGTACGCTGATGCCGCCCATTGTCAGCGCTCCGCTGCCTGGTGGCGCGGCCCGGCACCGTCAGGGAGGGTGGGTGGCCTCTCCAAGCGCCGGGGCATCAGGAACAGGTGACACCGTGAGCCGGGACCGAGCGGACCAGTCGTGTCTGCGCCACTCTGGCAATGGACCAGCCGATCAGCCGGCTTATCAGAGTCAGTCCAGTCTGGTGGTCAGCGGCCGGGGAGTACGGCTCAGGTCGTGGTCAGCGGCCGGGGAGTACGGGTCAGGTCGTGGTCAGCGGCCGGGGAGTACGGCTCAGGTCGTGGTCAGCGGCCGGGGAGTACGGCTCAGGTCGTGGTCAGCGGCCGGGGAGTACGGCTCAGGTCGTGGTCAGCGGCCGGGGAGTACGGGTCAGGTCGTGGTCAGCGTCCGGGGAGTACGGGTCAGGTTGTGGTCAGCGGCCGGGGAGTACGGCTCAGGTCGTGGTCAGCGGCCGGGGAGTACGGCTCAGGTCGTGGTCGGTAGTCACAGCGTGGTCAGTGAGATGCTGCCCCTTCCCCCCCCCCACGCCAGCGTTTGCGCAGATCAGGTGACGACCAGTGTAATCCATATCCCGCACCGTCCGGCCCCACATGAAACGAGCGCCACACACGGGGAGGACACGGACAATGAAATTATGACCGGGTAGTTATTTAGAGAGCCGGAGCCCCCGCTAAGCAGAGATTGTTGCGCAGGCCCCGACCTTTGCCGTGCGATCAGGCTATTCTGCAGGTAACGGGCTAATCTAAATGTAAATAATAAACCGCACACCACCCCCGTCAAGAGTCTTATATCCTCGTATGAAGTGCCGGAGCGACTCAAATCCGAGCTGTCACCACACAGTTCCCGGAGCGGAGTCGTGACTACAGACTCCGGCAGCTGCAGACGGCCGGTTCAGGGGCACGAGTCGGCGCCCGGGGGTTCCCGCCGAACATTTACGGCCCGGCGCCGGCGCCGGTCGGGGGTGGGGGGGGGAGGGGGGAGGGGGTGGGAGCGGGACTTAACTGCTGCTGTCAGGGTGAATGCTTCGTCCGAAAGTTATGACCAAACAATCACCAATATTTCTAAGCGTCTAAACTCCATGCTAGTTCAATCCTTTTTTCTATGCTGTCCAATCAATATACCTAATACCACATTGAGCGTCGCAAAAGTGCACTCTTGTGGTTCTGCCGTAGTTCCGTCAACATTCCAGTCCTTATCAACGCCTTGAAGAATATCAATTGATTTAATTCTTAAACTGACATAGTTTACATGAATGTATCAGGCATCTTTTAACTATAAACTGCGAACACATTTTCCGATTTTCAGGGGAATTTGGAACGTTTGCATCTGATTGCTAAAAAGCGGATCAACTCACCGGGCAGGAGGCAGAGGGCTGCCACCAGTAGGACGGCCGCCCCGCAGATCGGCCACGCCGCCATGCTCGGTACTCAGTCTGCTGGCGGGCTGCTGCTGCTGACTGCTGCTGTGTCTGCTCAGCCGCGGGCTCCACGTCTCCGCCCGCGAGCCCGCCGCCCGCGTCGGCCGCGTCCCGAGGCCGCTGCCGGTGCCAGCTGCCGAGTCACGGCCGCACCGCCGCCTCCCATTGGACCCGACCGGCTGCCCGGTGACGCAGCGACAGTGACGTCATCGCAGTGTGCCGTACGTGACCTTGGCCATCGGAGGTCGGCGGATGAGATGGCGGATCCTCCGGCGGCAGACGGCATGTTTTGATAGACTTACATTACAGCGAAGGCATGTCCCGGCGAGGCTTCGGTCAAATCTGACATCCACTGTTTCCCAAAGGAGTAGTATTCGCGAGTAGTAAGTGAAGGGCATATTTTTGCTTAGCCTGGTCACAGATAAACAAAAAACACTCGGAGTCACCTGGTTGCCAAAGATGGCACCAATGGCAAGCTATTACCTCACCCCGTGCTATAGGTATGTATGTACAGTCAGTATCAAAAGTACCGCGCCACAGTGCCGTGGATCCATTAAGTCTGGCCGAGGAAGGGCCTGCTATAATTTGAAAGTCACCGAACCATATTGACCTGGGGATTGGACGAGGATGTCAATTGCTTCGGTGACCCAAATTTAGCAGTCCTGCCACGGTCGGGCTTGATGGATCCCCCGCACTATTGCGCGTAACTTTTGACTGACTGCACAGTGCACATGCACATAATCGCAGGGTTTCAACGTCATCCGGCCATAGCCTGACCGTTAGCTACGAGGGGCGTTCAAAAAGTTCGCGGACCGATTATGAAGGAGCAAAGATACGGCATCGACATATTAGACCAGAAATGTTCTTTTATTCAAAAACATTGTGAAGACAAACACATTTCGCGTAGCGCTTCACGAGAGCTATCAGGGACTATACGAGTATAACCAACTACCAAGGTTTTTTTTTGGACCCATCCGGCACGTCCAAGACGGCTGCTTTCGTTTCCCTGCTGTCGGAGGAGATGCGACTGCGAAACGATTTCCTTGTGTTGGGGAAAAAGGGCAACCAGGGTGTGCAGGGTTCGGAGAAAAAGGTGGGTGCTACAATAACTCGAAGCCGCAGCTCATCGCTTCACTGATCGTCACTCCGCTCATGTGCGCAGGTGCGTGGTCCTGTCCTAGATCAGGCGCATACTTTTTGCCAGCTTCGCGCTTCTCTGATCTCTCCTCGATATCTGCCGCTCACAACTATCATCGAAGGATCCATCTATCACCTATCACAACAGCCCCTATCACCTTGCCGACTGATTTCCCGACGTTGTACTTATTTGGTGGCCACTACTCAGTGTGCTTCCACTTGCGCAGCTCGATCATGCCCTCAGGGGCAACGTTTGACGCCCACAATTCCTCCACGGTAGCAAGTTGTCCAATGACAACTTATCGTTGTCCGATCTACGGGCTAAAACTTTGCGTTACGCCTCCTTTCGAGCTTCCTTTTTTCTGGAGTCAGGAAACGGGGGATAAATCTTGCATAGATCTTAAACATATTATCCCGCGCCGTGCTGTTGGTCTCAGTTTTCCGTGGTGTGCTGGAAGGGGGGAGGGGGTGTTTTGACGTCCCTCGTCTAACTCGGCTCCTGGGCCAAGTAGCGACACGCGGTAAGCGGAAATCGAAAGAGCGTCAAAAATAGTGACAAAATACTTCAGTCATGTTTTAGGTCAGGTCAAAGGTCAGGTGACTAGATGTCATCAATGGTTAAACTTTGCCTATTTGAACAATTTTCGAAACAACGGCGCATAACTCAGGAACCAATAGGGATACGCTAGAGCGTCGCGAAATAGCGCATTCGATAGCCCCTTTAGCCCTATTTCTGGGATATGTCCTCAGATTTGACCTCAGCTCAACGGAGGGCAAAAACTGAAAAATGGCCGTTTCTACGAAAAAATGTTTTTTTCTTCAATAACTTTTGACTCAAGAGTGTCTCAGCCTTAATTTTACCAGTATCGTGTTACTGTCGTCGAAGCGCTTTGAATGAAATTTAATTTGACTTTGAGAGCTGAATTTGGAAATTTGACCTCAGAAATAAGGTCTGATAATTTGAAACATGAGGATTGAGGTATATATATATATATATATATATATATATATATATATATATATATATATATATATATATATATATATATATATATATATATATAAGCATCTGTGGAACCCAAATTGGCAACCTTTGAACCCGCGCACCGACGGGGGGACGGTTGACCGCCCCCTGATGTTTTTCGTGAATAGCGTAAAAACTGCGGCATGTGGAGCCGCGAAATTGTGCATGACTTTTCCCTCATCAATTCTACAAAAGGTGTGCAAGTTTGAACCGCTCTTACCTTTCAAGGTCAGGTCACCAGGTAACATCGAATGACCCAACCTCAAATCACTTTTTTGCAACTTTGTCACCGTGTCAGAGCTACAGTAGACGACGGAGGCCTTCGAAAGTCGCAGGATGTAATAAGTTCATTAGTAGCTACATTTTTATTTCATCTCGGAATTTTGATATCGATGACCTAAGGTCAGGTCAATTTCTTGACCTCTCCATTATAAGTCAGTGGAGGAAGAATCAACTTCCTGTTTTCCACTAAAACCCGTCGGAATGGCCCAATATATGTACCATAAATGACCTTATATACGATCAACCTTGACTACCTTGAGGCCGTTTTTGCTCTTGGGCAGCTGTAAGGTCATGTGACTTCAAGGGTCACCGAAGGTTTTTTGCTAATAACTCCTCACAGGAACGAGATACAGCCGCGCGGATGGTCTCATCGTGATCAGGTCGTCAAGGCGCAACGAATGATATACATTTTGACCTTTAGGTCACGTGACCTGAGGTTTACCTTTGACCTTGACCTTTCGAGGTCAACTTATATATGGATCGATGCGAATTGACAAGAGGATCAGGATGGTGCCAATAGTTTAGGCTACTTCGAAAGTTATTCGAGAAAAACTCATATCTAGCGCCGCCATTTCGACTTTTTTACCTCTGGGACGTCATCTTTGACCTGACCTGAAAACGACTTTAGTAAAAACTGTAGACCTTGTCCGTGCGTACCCCATGCCGCTTACCACTTAACCTCGGGTCACGGTCAGGTCAGAGCTTCCAGGTCACGAACCTGGTCGAAGGAGGTCATGTTGCTTATCATTCGATTCGACAGGTCTTCTCGAGTCCATTGGTGGCTATCCCGACTCGCTAGCACAATTTGATCAGGTGTTGTTGACGAAAAACTCTTATAACCCTAGTGACGTCATAAATGACGTCACGCAAGGTCAACAATGCAAAAGTGAATTTCATAAAACCAACGTTACTGTGACCCGCCACTAGTGGAGCTGGTGGCGGGTCAGTCTGACCCGCCCCAGCAGTGCGTGCTCGCCCTTCGCGCAGCTCGGGCGCTCCCCGGTCGCCGGTATTAGAGGCGGTGTGGGACTCCGTGTCCAGTGATGGAAGAGCTGAGTACGGCTATCCGTGCCCTGTCAGACAGGTTCACTGTGATTGAGGCGTCAGTGAGTGCAATCAACGACCGCCTTGAGGAGCCCAACGCCGGTCGTCGGCACGTGGCTCAACCAGAACAGGCTATTGAGCCGACTGAACCCGTGAGTACAGAGGGGTTCGATTTTGGATCCTACAGTGATCTCCAGGCAGAACTAAAGACTGTTCGTGAAGGAGTGGCCAAGATCAAGTTACCGCAGGACTTGGTCGTTGGAGATTCCCGCGCCGGCGTGGGGAAGAACGACCTGCCGCGTTTTCAAGTGATTCAAAGGTGCGCGAGGTTCCAGGAAACCGTTCTTAAGGTTTTGTCAACCGCTTCTGCTACGGATCCTGTGATAAACCAACTCACTATAGTCGCGTTAGCCCAAACCCGTTACTTACAAGAAGAATATACCAACTTGCTTGTCTCAAATCAGTTCGACGATACGACCGCTCAGCTTTTCAAGACTCTGCAACAAAACCCGGCGGCTTTCCCGCCGGGCGCGGTGGAAAACCTTCAGCGGGCGGTGACGATCGCCGGGGCGCGGCAGCAGTCACGCCAGGTCAGTCACGTGCCCGACCGTGCCCGCTGGCGCGGTCCGCCGCCGGCGGCCGCGCGGTTCGGCGCGGGCCCAGCGTCGGCTGATTGGAGGAGCCGCGGTCGACCCGGCCCGGGCTACCCGCAGCCGTCACGTGACCTGTCCCGGCCCGGTCAGCTGCAGCACGGAGCGGGGCCGGGGCCGCACGCCGCTGAGTGACGGGAACCATGGTGCTTCGGCCGGCGGCCTGGTCGGAGATCGGCGCGTCTGATGTGGTAATCGAATGGGTAACGGATGGGGTTCCCATACCGTTTTCAAGTGAGCCTGAACCAAAAGTATTTTCTAATCCAAGGTTCACTGATACTGAAGTTGATTTTTTGAACAATGAACTCATTAACCTGGAATCTAGAGGTGTCGTTCAGAGAGTGTCAGAGACGCCTCACTGCGTGTCCCCACTAAAGGTTGTGCCGAAACCTAGTGGGAAGTTCAGACTGATATGTGACCTCAGGTATGTGAACTCACACTGTGATACACCACGATTTTCGTCTGAAGGTATCGATGTTTTACCCGAAATAGTACGTGATGCTGAGCAGGCTGTAACTTTAGATTTACGTGACGGATTTTTTCATTTTCAGATCGAGCCACAATATCGCAAGTATTTAGGGTTTCAGTACGGTGGTTCTTGGTGGGTGTGGTGCTGCTTACCTTTTGGGTTACAATGCTCTCCGTTTTATTTTCACAAATGTATTCGTGCCGTTGTTAAATATTTGCGTGATGTCAAATCATTGTCACTCATGGCCTATGTTGACGATTTTTATTTATGCTCCACAAAAGCAAGCATTGATCGAGACCTTGGTGTGTTGTTAGAGACGCTCAGTACCTTAGGTCTCGCTGTGAATTTTGAAAAGTCACATCTCACGCCCTCGGAGTCGGTAACTTATTTAGGCTTTGAAATTCGCTGTGCTACCGCTTTGAGCCCTCCTGTGATTACGGTTCCTAAGTGTAAAGTTCGAAAGTTGAAGCAAGACATTTCGAGGGCGCTGAAGCGTAGTTTCATTTCGGCTCGTTTGCTAGCTCGGATCGCT